ATACTTCTGTAATGAGACCCCGTAAGATATTAAACTTTAGCATCCCAAAAGGTCCCGTTTTTCCCTGCTTCCACTCATCCTCACAGGTAACACTATGCTGAGTTATTTAACCATATATTAGTTTCTCCTGTCCTAGAGCTTTATGCAGTATCTACTCTCTTGTGTTTGGCTTCGTTCACTCATCATAGTGTTTTGGAATTTTTTCCTTTCAATTTTATTTTGTGTTGGTTTTAAGTGTACACTTAGTGGTTCGACCGTCAATTACTTTACATAGTGTTCACTCAGTATTCCATTATCCCAACTGGCACCATACATACTTATCACAATATTGACTATATTCCCTATGCTTTACATACATCTCCATGACTGTTGTGTAACTACCACCCTGTACTTCTTACTCCCTTCACCCTAGCTTTCACCCCCACCCCCAAACACCCTATCCCCCTGGCAACCATCTGCTCTCTGTGTCTGAGTCTGCTAATTTTATTTCTTCTGTTCATCATCATCATCATGTTTTGAGTCATCCCCGTTGCATGTATCAGTAATTTTTCCCTTTTGTTGATGAATGGTATTCCACTGCATCAATCCACCAGTTTATCTCTCTTGTTGAAGGACTTCTGGGCTCCTTTGAACATTAGGAAAGCGTTCTGTGAGCACATGCTTTTGTTTATCTTGGGTAAATTCTCAGAAGTGGACCTGAATACTGAGGAATTGGGTCACGGGGTAGGTCTGTGTTTAACTTCATAAGAAACTGCCAGACCTTTTTTCATAATAGTTATAACACTTCATTGTCCATCCCTCCAGTTGTTTCACGACCTTGACAAACTCTCCTTTCAGTTTTAGACATTCTGGTAGGTGTGTAGAGAAAATATAAAGTTTAAATGATTATTCTCTAAGAAGAAAGCAGTCAGATGGCCTTGAATCTTACGCAGGCGCAGGCGCGCGCACGCGCGCACACACACACACACACACACACACACACACACACACACAGAATTTGAAGTGCTTTTTAGAGGGCATAATCAGGTGTTTATAAACAAAGTATGCAGCACAAGGATAGCAACTTTTGTAGGAACCTGGGTATTTTAAGCTATGAATTTCCTTTCCAAAAACAAACTGGAAGCTTCTAAGGACTTGGTTTAAGAGTGGCACAGACCAAGGGCAAGAGTGTTCAAATTGCAGAACTTCCCTCTATTACCAAAATTTCCAGTATTAAAAATTCCCAGCTATCACCATACGTGGAATATTCTACTCTTTAGGAAAAAACACTGCACTCCAGATAGGCTGACATGGGGACATTGAATTCTGATTTGCTTTGCTTTAGAATTCAGGTAACAAAACCTACTGATAGCAGAGATTCAGACCTTCCCCAAAATTTGGAAACAAAAAATATTTCAAACAGATGCCCTGCACTGACCCAGAGGATATTGTCCTGAGACCCCAGTTTCACAAGCATGGCCTGGGACTTACCTTCCGGGTCTCACTGTAGAGAGAGGAACTGGTTTTAGAGCTGGAGGAAGCTGGGTTTGAAATTGGGCTCTGCGCATACTAGCTGTGCGGCTCTGCAAGCCGCTTCCTCTCTCAAAACCTGAGCTTCTCTCTCTTCAGAGGAGGGATGATCCTCCCCTCTCATGAGTGCTGTGATGGGAGGCGGGGAATGTAAAGCCTCTGGCATGCTGCTGTCCTCTCAGAGATAGCCTCTGTCTTCCTACCCAGAGCCCTCAGGCCCACGGGCACCCCAGGCTGCCCACCAGGAACCCCAGCTACAAAACTGGAGGCCCCTTCCCTGTTTCCTCAGTGAGCCTGACTGAGAATTACAGGGAAATAACTTTAGTGGAACAGTTTTGTTTTGTTTTTTAAAATATATTTTATTGATTTTTTACATAGAGGAAGGGAGAGGGATAGAGAGCTAGAAGCATTGATGAGAGAGAAACATTGACCAGCTGCATCTTGTACACCCCCTAATGGGGATGTGCCTGCAACTAATGTGCATGCCCTTGACCAGAATTGAACCTGGGACCTTTCAGTCCGCAGACAGACGCTCTGTCCACTGAGCCAAACCGGTTTCGGCTTTAGTGGAACTGTTAATGGCAAACAGCACCAGATGTTAGACCTTGGCCCTTGAGTTTTGGCTAAGGAAGGATTCAGAGCTAAGACTCCAATATAAGCAAAAATTTGTGTAGAAAGTCGCAGAGGTAGAAGTGAGCCCCTGGAGAAAGTGGGCCAGCTGGGCTGCACCTCAGGCAGCAAGTTACAGAGGCAAAACAAGGGCCTGGCACTGAGGAGGGAGAAAGCAAAGGCGCACCCACACTTTGAGGGAGGACAGGGAAGGGAAGGTGCAGGTGTGCTCTAAGCGTGCCAGAGCGAACGCTGGGTCCTCCATCGTAAGGGGTTCATCTGTTTCCTGAACGTGGGGTTTTAGGGGAGGTCTCAGGGGAGGATGTCCAAAGAATATTCATCAGCTTTCCGGGGGTCCTTTCAGGCCGTGGTCTCCACCAGTTTGGGAGCACCGGGGCAGGGTCATTAGAAAGTGCAGCTGGTCCTGATGACAGCCAGGTGGACCGGCTTCATCTGGTTTTGTTGCTTTTCTGAAACTGAGGCCTGGATGTCATTCCTAGTTTAACCTAACCTCTCTCTGGGGTCCACAGACCCCAGGCTTTGTTTCTAAGGTTATTTGTTGTGAGTCAGAACCTCATGGTCCTGAGGGCTTAATGCTTCAGGGAGTAGTCCTGCCTGGAAGCCCTGGGAGGCTCTTCCCTGGCCCTTGTTCCTCCTCTAAGGGCCTCCCACGAGACTAGCCATAGGCCAGGGGAGGGGAGCTCAGGGGAGGGTCCAAACTACGTGACCAGTGATGTGAAAGGTCAGGGGGTCTAACCCACACGATCAAAGATATGCTGGGAGAGGGAAGGTCACCCTGGGGCGAGGTCCCACCCTACAGTACTGGCATTCCCAGTTTTGCCCATTGCTAGGCTTCCCACCTACCTGGGCGACCTTCTGACCTGGCCTATCAGTCCTTCTCTGCTCCCATCTGCCAACTATATCAGAATCATTCATGCCAGGTTGTAAATGATTTGTGGGTTTAGACCTCCAATTAATCATTTTAATTCTAAAAGAATTTGTCTAAATGAACCTTCAGCTGTTAAAGGGGGTGTATATAGAAGAGAGATTTAACCTTCCTCTGGAAGCTTCAGTAAAATGCCGCACTGCTGGGTGTGACCGGGAAGGTCCTCGGGGGCTGTTCTTGCCCAGGGGTCAGAGTGAGCCCGCTGCTAGGGAAGCAAGTGAAGGTTGGGCGGCTAGGTGGGGAGTGTTTCTAGTCTCTGCTATCTGAGGAGAGCGCCCCTCAGTGGCAGATGAGCCAATTTGGGGGGTGATGGGGTTGGTGTGAGTGCTGTGGGTTCAGCTCTGAACGTGCCAAATGCAGACAGACTCCTAAGCGGAGGAAACCCCGAGCCTCCTCCACAGACGGACCTGGTATCTCTCCTCTTCCACCCTGTTTCCTCTACTCTCATCCCCACCCTCAGGGTGGGGGACAGGGTTCATTTTCATCCCAAAGGCAGGGTTGGGGTGTGCATACTGGACCTTGGCTTCCTCTCTTTCCATCTGGACAGAACTTAAAGCCCACGGCGACTTCCCCGAGCCCCACAGCGCAGGCCGTTGGCCTATGGGCGCCAATGAACTACATGAGAAGGTTCTTTTGTGTGTGATCTGGGGAGCCATGGGACCTCGTTTCTAAAGGAGAGATGTGCTGTGATTCAGAGAGAAAAGCTGAGTGTTTAAAGATCACTTGCTTTTGAACTACAGCTGATAAACAATTTGCAAGGCAAAAGTTGTATTCATTCGGTACAGATCAAAAAGTCACACTGCACTCCAAGGCTTTGTAGCAAATGGTTTCTCTCTGAAAAGGAAAAACAGAGCGGCTCTTCACAGAAGAGATAACAAAGGCCCATAATTAGGGGATGAATGAGTCACAGCTCTTAGTCACATTAAAGCCCAGATCTCACACAGGCGGCGATGATGTGGAAGGTGCTGTGCGGGGTAATTCATAGAAACCCCCTATCTTAACACTTCAGTTTCCCATGATTATTTTTCCGTGGCTCAATCCAGTGGGGACATTTTACCTGTGGCACACAGGGGACTTCTGGCTCGGATGGTTGGCGTTGTTAAGCCACCCTAACCGTCCTTCCCAGACAGCCCTACACATGCACCTGCCTTGTTTTCCTCGTTAATTTACCTTGTTCATTAGTGGCTACGGATGTTAGCTGGTCTGAGCTACGGGCAGTAGATGGATTCAGCAGGAAAGCAGCTTGATTATAAGTGATAGAGCTAAATGTGCCCCAGTAGCAGAGTCTGTCACAAACACAAGAAATGCAGGAACCCAAAGCAAGCAAATGTATTCTTTCCTGTGGTGATTACTTCACCCGTCATATGACACAGATTGAGCATTAGCACAAAACCACCAGCACAGGAAAATTTGATAATGAGAAAGAACCAGGTGTTAAACTGCATCTAAAGATCAGCTCTCATTGTAATGAAACATTTGCAAATTGATCCTGCCTGTAACTTGAAGAGCTTTCTAGGAAGGTTTTTAGAAGGTGTAGGCTTACGTTGGTATTATTTTTATATCACAGAAAGTTTTATAATAAGTATGAATTACAAACAGGTTATATATTAGCCTTATAAAAACCTTACATTTTTTGTTCTAGCTTTTTTTCTTTCTGCATTTCTGCAGACTGTGAGAATGAGAAGAGCTTTCTGGCAGGCCAGCAGTCCTCCTCTGAGCCCCCCATGCTCTGGGCTCAATATCCCCTGAGTGTCTGGGCGTAACAGCATTTATAATAATATTAGTTGGTGCACAACTTGCATCTGTTCATGTTATCTGTGCAACTTCTCGCTCTTTTGAAGGCTTCAGAGTTTTGTAATGAAATTGTTTGGCTGCTCATGCTGTATTTTAAATTACTTTCTCTTGTTTTATTTACCGAACTTTGAAACCACTTCAGATTCACAAGATTCATCGAGATTCAGGAGACAATTCTCAGACAGGTGAGAATGCTTCAATTTCACTTTTACTCCCAGGCAGCATGTGTGGGGTCAAGTCTGAAACATACTCTGAATTGCTCAAGCAAAGCCAGAACTGAAGTAGAATGCCTGGAAGTTTTTTGAATATTCATTCGTGGCAACCCTTTCTAGCCAATGCCAGCTCTTCCTGGTTTTCTGTTGCCGGTTAGAGACCGTCATGCAGATAAACCTAGAATGAGAGAGTGGCCCCAAAGTCCAGGGAGACGCACTGTTGTCACACTGTCGCCAGGCCTCCCTTGCTTAGCAGCACCAGTGGCTGCACAGTTAGAACATGGATGGGCCCTGGCCTGGGGGTCAGAAGCCCTGCCCACCTGCTCAGCTTCCCATTTCCTCACCTCATAACTGGGGTAAGACTCTGACTGCCTGACCTTGGTTTCCTCAGTTATAGAATGATGACTTTCACATTGGGAAGGTCTGAAATTCTCTGATTAGAGGGGGAAATGTGTCTACTACCAAAGATTTAAAATTCTTGTTCCTGCACACATGCTCTCCCATTAGCGGCTTCCCAGCCACTAACGCATAGTCAGGCCCTGGGCTGTGGTGAGTTCCTCTCCTTGATTCCACGGTGAACCATATTTTAGCCCACTCAGGAAGCCTTCCTGTGATCTTCCTGATCTTTGGTTTCTTATTTGTAAAGTGAATTAACATTGTTCATCTTGTTGTTAAGAGGATTAGAGAGGAAAAAATGTACATTACATCTATCAGTGCCTGGTATTTAACTACTTAGCATCCTTCTCCCCTCCCCTACCTTTCCCTTCTCTTTCTCAGCTCTTCTCTCAGATATTTTAGTTTATTCCTTCTAACACTTACAGTAAGAGCATTATTTTAACTCACAAAATCTGTTACAAGCATTCTCATATCCTTTGTAGTGCCCAGGATGGTCTTGCACATAGTAGACACTCAATACTCACAAAACATTAAACCACCCCATCTTGAAAAGCACAGGCTCTCTCATTTATTAGCTCTTTGACCTTGAGCTACCTAAACAATCTTTCCAAGTTTAAATTTCCTCATCAATTTAAACTTGTACTGTATAGGATTTAGAATTATTGCAAGACTATATAAGACGTGTCTATAAATATTAAATATTTAATAATAAACATTAAATATTAAAATATTAAAGCACCATCTGGTGCACAGTAGGTACTCAGTACATTATAGCTATTTTAAAAATTGGTGATACTGTATCTTTTTTTGCCTTTGAGGACAGCTATCTAAAAGTCCTTTATCCTTCTTTTTTCTGTTTTTGAAATTCATTCCATAAGTATCTGTTGAGAGAATGAATACCAAATTCTTGTATTTAAATGGCTTATACTAAAGAATAATTTTCAAAACTTTAAATTTCTGTTGCTATAATTTCTCTTAATTTTAGCTGAGATAAAGTCGGGAATAAGCGTTATTCATCTTTGAATAATTTCTTCTTTTTTTAATATATTTTATTGACTTTTTACAGAGAGGAAGAGAGAGGGATAGAGAGCTAGAAACATCGATGAGAATCATCGATCAGATGCCTCCTGCACACACCCTACTGGGGATGTGCCCGCAACTAAGATATATGCCCTTGACTGGAATCAAACCTGGGACTTTTTCCACAAGCTGAAGCTCTATCCATTGATCCAAACCAGTTTCGGCTTGAATAACTTCTGATAAATGATTTAGGATCCAACGAGGCAACCTGGGCCAACAGCTGTGAAACTAACCTCCTACTTTAGATTTATTTTAGAAACTACATTTTGAGGAATTCCTATGCTCTTTGATCTTGAATTTAATCTTAAATCTTCACTAAGTTCGATTTAATTATTATCTGCAACACAAATATCAGGAAAGTATATGATTAGTAAGTCCCTGAATAGGCTAAAAAGGAATGTCTTGCGAATGATCTGTTAGTTTCTGAGGGTTCGAAAGATGCCATATGATTTTAATAGTATTATTTAGAATGCCACCACCCATAGTTGTCTTTATAAAGAAATACAGAAACTCATATTCAAGGCTAGAAAAGTTAAGGCAGAGTCTGGAAGACAAAAATAGGCAAAGGGATAGTAAATGGTTTATGTTAGATTAAAGGCAATGGTGTGCAGATTAATTTTATAATATTCTGCCTTTCAATTTATGCTGTAAAAATATAATTCATGTTTAGTTACTTATTTAACCATTTTTAGTTAAATCAGATTTTTGAGGATACTAAAGAAAATGGTTAAAAAGGTGATCTAGAAAAGGCATATTATGATGTGAAAACAGCATTATAACATGACCTGTGTGTGCCTAAGAAGGTGTATGTGCAAGTGCACAGATGAATAATAGCCGGCAGGAACTAATACGTGGCCCACACTGCCCCAAGTGCTGCCATGAATTAGCTTGTTTACAACAGCCTACGAACGAGATGCTGGAACTGCCCTCACTACACAGATCGGGACCCCAGAGGACACCTCCAGGGTTACACACTACTGGCTGGACAGTGGGGACTTGAATTTTGCCAGTTTGGCTCTGGAGCTGGTCCTTTGAACTACTACACTTTCTTATACCTCTCGCTCTTTTATGCCACTGGAAAGTTCTTGAAAAAAGCGTTATTTCTTCGTTTTTCTCTCTTGAAATTTCGTTTATTGGGTCTGAGAAATGCTGGAAGCTGATGTATGACTCCCGCCTCAGCACAGTGGAGCACGTCTGTTAGGAGTTGAGTTTCTCCCTTGCTCATGTGTGGTCCCCACCAGAAGCATACACCTGACAGTGCATGTTTCTGCAGCCCTGACATTTTTATCCCGTCCTCACTGCTGGCATGGCACTGTTGCCTTAGATGTTGCAGTAATGGAACAGCACATTTTGAGTGTTAAATTCGGTCTGTAAAGACTTCTGCAGAATTTACATGCTTTCCACCCCATCCCCCTTTCAGAAAATGGGGACAAAAGTGAGAGTTTCGTTTTTGCAAATTGTTGGACTATAAAACTTTTTCTTCTCTTCCTTCCTGGGATTGGCGGTTTGCATCACTTGATGAAATCACATCCTTAGAAGAACATCTAGAGGCTCAACTTTTTAGGGAAAAAAAGGCATACAATTGGTCCAAATTAGTTTCCCAAGTAAAATAACTCTCTGTGGATGTCACTAGTATTTATTTCCTCAAATATAATAAGGACCTTCCCTATCTAGACAGTCAAGTGTATTGATACTTCATATCAGAATGAACCCCCCAAAATTTCCCCTAAATTTTAATGTTTATTTTAAAAGAGTTATTAGTGGGACAAAAGAATCCTTGATCATGAGCCTGTTTCCATAGTGTAATGTGGTGCCACAAGGACAGGCATCGCTCTACAACTAATATGGCAGGAAATTCTGTGGGTTGTGAGAATTTGAAGAGAAAATGGTTTCCTAATTCTTAAAAATATTTTATAGTGCTTAAGAAGTGACCTTGATTTTCTTTGAAGAATGATGGGGAAATGTGTCCAAACTTAATTGTGAATAAGCTGGTAACTAACCACTCCCCTTACTCATCTGAAATCCTTAGAGTCTCATTCATTCAGATACAAGAGCAGGAGGAGGGAGTCCATTGATGTGAAATCAATATCATCTCGAGGCAGTGACGGTAAGAAGTTTTTCAGATTTTCTTGACCTTTTTAAAGCATAGAAAATGACAGAAGAATATATAAAAGAATTCCTCAACATATAAACAAATCCAAAGGAATAGAAAGTCAGCAACACTGGCTTCTTCTCGTATAGGCAATAGACTTTTTACAGTCTTTGTCTTCTCTTTGAAATGACTCGGTGCTTGACCCTTGCTGGCCTAAGCTGTGCTGGACCGTAACCGCCAAAGCAGGGGCTGGGTCACATGTGGCTACTAGTGGCAGAGAAGGGACCAGAATCTTGGCTTCCTGACTCCACTGCAAACCCAGTGTTCAGTGTTCCTGTTATACACCTTACTGTCCTTTAATAAACGGTCCCAGATAAACTGAGACAGAATTTAGCAAAATACTTTAGTTCAGTCAGGCCTAATTAATTCATTGGATTTTCAGGTGGATGGGAAGTCAAAGATGGTTCTGAGATTTAATTCCTATGAGCCTGAGAAGATAGAAGTAATATCTACAGAACCAAAAAAGCTTCCATGTATGGCTAGGTGGGGATTGAGAAGATTAGTTTTATTTCAGTGAAAATGTCAAAAAAGCTAAAATGCAAGACTCAGGGCTAGAGGTATGGATTTGGGTGTCCTAGAGAGGACAGATGAAGAGCCATGAGCAGAGGAACATCTCTAATGTGTGTGTGTGTGCTGAGTCTAAGGCTTGAAAGTACACCCTCAGTGAGAGGGAGGCAAGAGAAATTGGGCCAATGCAGGGAACAGGAGAGCTGGGTACAGTGTCACGTGAACCAAGAATAAGAGGGTAGCAGAAGAAAGGAGATGGCTAGCAGTATAAGTGCTGCAGAGATCAGAGAGCTTCAGAGCTGAGAAGAGGCATTCAGCTAGTGTTTATTTGGCAAATGAGGACAGATGCTAGAGGTGTGAGGAGGGGATGGTGAGTGACAGAAGGGAGAGGAGTGGGTGGTAACTTAGGGGGGTTGAATGGAAAGGCAGAATGGAAAGGATTCTTCAGTTCTTTAAGTCACATTGGGAAAGCTGAGTCTGAGGGAAGTGGCTGAACTAGAATTAAAGAGGAGATGGATAACTCACAGAGAAAGATGGATACATCACAGGGCATGCAAGGGATTGGGGCCAAAAATGTAAGGAATGTGGACCAAAATATTTTCAGACGGATTGAGGATGTAGATATACAACATTATAGATGGAAAGGATAATGAAGGAATTTCAACTAGATGAGCTCAGTTTTCTTAGTAGGGTTTGATTTGCAATTGTCTTCTCCACGGAGCGTGGGAGTGGAGGGTCAGAGTGTGCCATGTGGCTGCCCTGGCAGCAGAGAGGACCGCAGAGGGGCTGCGCAGCAGGCTGCTGTGTGGGTATTGGCGAGGTTAGGTGATCCCAGCTATAACATACAGATTCTGTCCCTCAGAGGAGGAGTAGGAAAGGGAGAACAGAGCTTTTAAAGTAAAGCTGCTACCTTTTGAATTTTGAACTACATGTAAAGATTACCTATTAAAAAAAAATAAAGTATTTTAAAATGAAAGTTTCTACTGGTTAGAGCCAGAACCAGTAGGAGTTCTGGGCATTAAGAACCTAAAGGCTCAGAGATGTGCAGTGCCTAATTCAGACTGAAGGGGCTCATTCTCTCCCCCATCACTTGCCTTTCCATTTACGCCCCTAACCTGGGCCATGCCTCCCCTCCCACACTGCACAGTTAACCTGTTACATGCCAGTGGCTAAGGACTGGAAGTGATGGAACTGCCCAAGATGGGCTTTGGTGCCTTATGAGGAAGTGAGTCCTGTGGGATCATTTCGCTCTTGAGATGGGGTCCAGATCTAATCAACCTTCTCTAAAATTCCCCTTGTGGGCTGGGACTCATAAGGCCTTCCTGCCACCAAAGTTCCAGGCCAGACCATTCTTTCCAAGCAGTGGCCGAGCTCTCACCCTCAGGATTAAGAGATGGATGGACACATTGCGCTGTGGGGGGCAGTAGTCCTTTGAGAGCCAGGCCCCCAGGTCGGGGTGGGCTTCTTCGCTGCATGCAGCCAAGCTGAGCGCCACCACCAGACACAACTTTCTTGACTTCTCCCCAGCGCCAAGCCTGCAGAACCGTCGCTACCCATCCATGGCAAGGATCCATTCCATGACCATCGAGGCCCCCATCACAAAGGTGAGTGGCAGCTGCTGCCTCTACTCCACAGTCAGGGTTACCCAGCACCGGGCTATTTTGGAGATAAAATGAATGACATTCCACGATATCATAGTTTACTGTCTAGCTGAGAAAATATATATTAAACACAATAAATAAATAAATAAATATAGTTATAAATTACAAAAGTTACTGTAAAGGAAAACAGTTTATGAGAGGAAATTAGATCAGGGCCTTATTTTGGGTGGCGAGAGGGGTGATCAGGAAGGGTCTGTCTGTGGAGGAAATAATGTTTGACGTGAGACCCGAGGCATGCAAAGACATGGAAGACGAGGCAGGAGAAGAGGATTTGAGGCAGCAGACACTGCAGGGGATGAAGCCTGGGGTGAGCAGAACAGTTGAGGACCTGAAAGAGGTTGAGTGGCTGGAGCTGGCGAGAGAGGGAGGAGATGGCGACATGGAGCTTGGCTGGGCTCAGTTCATTCTGGCCAGTCGGGCCATAAGGAGTTTATAGTTTCATTTTGGTGCAGTGGGAACCACTAAAGAGTTTAAAGCAGGGAGTGACATGGTCAGATACCCAGAGAATGGATCGGAGATGACAAGAGTGGAAAAGAGGCCAGTTAGGCAGCTTTTCCGGAATTTCAGGCAAAAAATGGTATTAGCTATACTAGGATTATAACAGATCAGGTAATATTTAGGGGGAGAATCAGTTTGACTTGATTAATTACATTGTCATGGTGGGAAATTAAAGACTTTCACTTTGAGCACAGGATGGACAGGAGTGGTTTCCTACTGCAGTGTGGAAGCCAGAGAATGGAGCAAAGCTCCGTGTTTTCTTCGTTTTGTTTGCTTACTTGCTTTGGGGAGAGGAGAATGAGTTTGGATTTGGACATGTAAGATACTCCTATGGATATGTCAGGAATTGAATACACAGGTCTGAAGGTAAAAAAGAGTTCAGAGCTGAGATATAAATTTGAGAGCCCTTGGCATACGGATGATGTGTCCAAAATCATGGAAATGCGAGCTCATCTCTGGAGGCCTGTAGAGTGAGAGGAAGGCCCAGCATCAACCCCTGAGGAACTCCACCCTGTAAGGGAGCTGCAGGAGGACCAGCCAGGAGCCTGGAGAAATGCAGTCAGTGAGGTGGGACAGACACCCAAAGGGATGGGTGAGCAGCATTCCTCAATTAGAAGGGAGATGGACATCATCACCTGATTTCTTTTGGATTCCCGGTAGATGGGAAGTAGAATCCTAATGACCTCAAATTTTTTTCTTTCTTAACTTCCTTAGGTTATAAATATAATTAATGCAGCCCAAGAAAACAGCCCTGTTACAGTAGCAGAAGCCTTGGACAGAGTTTTAGAAATCTTACGGACCACTGAACTGTACTCCCCTCAGCTGGGCACCAAAGACGAAGATCCTCACACCAGCGATCTTGTTGGAGGCCTGATGACTGTGAGTGATGAGAATAAACCAGAGGTTAATGTGCTCCAGACTACATGCAGCATGTACAGTACTTATACCTGTTGTATGGACAAACTAGAAAGCACCTGCATCACAATTTCTGTGGGTGGCATTAGTCAAGGAATCTTGCATTTATCTCTCCATAGGAGCTTTGCAAAGCTGACTAACCATAGCAGGGGAGACAGACCTTCAGAATTCCTGTTACACAAAGGTGATCCCAGGCAGTTGGCTGATAGGCATGGCCCTTGTCTTTCTTCCCTTGACCTGGCACAGTATTCGGGTGAAGTTATGGCCAGTCTCCTTGGATCGAGGCTCTTTATGTAAAAGAAAGGTTTTGTACTTAGACTACAGCACTATTTTCCAAAATTTTAGCTTGTAGAACCCTTTCTTTCAGTAAAAGCTTCTATGGAAGTTCCCTCTCTCATCGGGTAAAGCAGAGGGAGCTGCTCTGGCTTGGCGGGGAGGGGAGAGCCTCCCTGCCAGCACACCACCACCATGGCAGCTAATTTCCAAAGACTCATCCTGTTTTGCTGTGATCTATTTGGCCACAATCATCATCTATTCAGCAAGTGAAGAAAATTCAAATTATTCATCTGTGCTCCTTATCAGAGGTGGGAGAATCCTTTGGGAGAAAAACAAAGTCCAAGAGTCATCTATGAGTTTTATAAAGGCTGGCATTTAGCCCTACCACCAGTACTGAGCGTTGACTAGCTTTCTGACCCCTTCTAGTTCCAACTAGAAATCTATGATGAGCCTGCAATCTGAGAATCTCCTAATGTTCCCTGCCCCGGGGCTGGCCTCTGTTGCCCCTCCCAGTGCAGTGCAGACTTCAGTTAGAGGCGGCAGCCTGGGTCTTTCAGGGGGCAGCCCCTTCAGCCATCCCATCCTAGTTAGGGTTCCTCTCCAGGTAATGCTATGAGGAACCAGTGCAGGATTCCACCTCTTTTTATGAAGCAATAGGGAAGATGAGGAAGAAAGGCAAAGAAGAAACAAGGAGTCCTCTGTGATATGTCTTAGAGGAGGGGCCATTGTAACTTATCTTTTGTTTGTAAAAAGTTAAGCTCTTGGCCTAAAGATCCAAGGTGTGACTTCAGAGGAGCCCTTCACTGACGCTTTAAACCTCAGCACACACTTTCTAGGGATGACAATTATAAATTATACAAACAAATATAAAAGCTAAAAACAGTAGGTACCTGGATAGATGAAGGATAGGAAGATGAAGGATAGGAAACTGAGATGCAAGAACATCTGGGACTAGTTCAAGTCCAGGAGCTTAGTAAAGGCTGAACATTGGAATCCTGCCCAGTCCCTATGCTGTCCCTCCAAAGACCTCAATCCAAACACTTTTCTTTTAAAAGTTAGCAATGATGCTCAAATTGCTAAATAGAAAATGCAGTTGGAAAAAATCAATTCAGATATTGGTAAAAAATTAGCTCAAGCTTTTTAAGGCTTTACATTAAGGAATTCCCAAATGTGGCCTATGGCTTTGGCTCCCTAATAAGTAAATCAAACAACTATGAGAGTAAGGAGGGTCCCTTCAAAATCACATGCATCCAAACCAAAGCAAGTTCACTTCTGTGATTTCACAAATGTGGCTTCAAAATTCCGGAAGAGAAAGATGGCATGAGAATAGAGCCAACTCACAACCCAGATGTGAGCAGAATGTAGTCATTTCCATTTTATTCTCAATTCTCCACCTCCTGAGGCTAAGAGCCATGGAAGGGAGACTATCTTGTGTCTTGTAGCTATGGTTCTGATTTAGTTTTGAGCTTCAATTTGGGAGTTCTAGATTGACTGAATTACTCATTATTCAAATCTCTTTGGCTAATTAAAGAAACGAAAATAATGCCGGCATATACAACATGCTTCTAATAGCATCTTTCTTTATTCCAGGATGGCCTGAGAAGGTTGTCAGGAAACGAGTACGTGTTCACTAAGAGTAAGTTGCCATAGAACCACTTGTTGTCTCTAGCCTGTGCAGTCCCCAGTGTTGTGATTATTTGATGGAAGAAAGACGTTGGTGTTACTTCCTGTTGGTCTCATTGCAATTTAAGCATTTCTATGGTCTACATTTGAAACCAGGTCTCATAATTGAAATTACTTATCTGAACACGGTCAGAATAAGGATTGCAATTTTCTATACATTTAAACAGACTGTTAAACTGAATTGTTTTTCTATTTGGGGGCCTTGGAACTTCATAATGTAAGAGAAGAGCCCTGAAGTGAGCATTTTCCTACCCTTGGAGTTTAAGGCTTTCTCTTTATAGCAGCAGATAAAGACAGCAGATGCTCAAGGGCGCCCAGGACTCCACCATTAACCCTCTCCCTCCTCCTTCGCCACCCCATCTGTTTGCTCAGATGTGCACCAGAGTCACAGTCACCTTGCAATGCCAATAACCATCAATGATGTCCCCCCGTGTATCGCTCAATTACTTGATAATGAGGAAAGTTGGGAGTTCAACATCTTTGAGTTGGAAGCTGTTACACATAAAAGGTATGTAGCTTCTCTGGCTGCTGGCAGAGATAACTAATGGCCAAGCTCAGGAATCCACATTGGAAACTTTGAGGGAGATCCAGCCCTTGCAGAGTCTGTTCCTTTCGTGCTGTCCTGGAGGAATATCGCAGAGCAGAGACGATGGCCCCTGAGCAAGCTCCTTTATAGAGGGAGTATTAGTGGGTCAGCCTGGTGATGACCCCGGATGAGGAAATGCCAAGTCCTTTTCACATCCACGCAGGTCATTCCTTTGTGCTAATGAGGCAAGAGCTCCAAGTATTCTCAGCCCCAGATTTGAAGCCCCATCTTACAAAATGAGTTTGAGTGTACTGGAGACTTCTTTTTATTCATCCTAGAGACTCAGAAAGTCCTCTTCTATAGTAAGAGGCCATTTCTTCCAGGGGGTGGATGTGAACGCCTCACACCTGTAAATAAATAACATACGATAGAACTTCGCTGAGATCACACAAGCCATTCCTCTTTCCTTAGGCTCAGTAACTGCTTCAGGGGACATACAGGAAGTAAGGGCTGATGTGGATGTGGAGATGGGGAGGAACTTCCAGGGACCTTTCTTGGCTGTCAGAGCCAATGAAGAGCATAGGACTTAGAGATAACCTGGAAGTCATTCAGACTGACCACCGTTGAGGCACTTAGTTGCAAGAAGTGGCCAGTGAGGAGGAGATGCTTTTATGCCCTGATGCATGTGGAATAAGCATCAGAAGAAAAATGCCTCCATTCCTCAGTATCATCAACGCAAGCAGTTTCTGGACCAGTGAATACAATGAATCAGGGTTTGTCTTCCTTTTTTCCAGGCCATTGGTTTACCTGGGCTTAAAGGTCTTTTCCCGGTTTGGAGTGTGTGAATTTTTACGCTGTTCTGAAACGACTCTTCGGGCTTGGCTCCAAGTGATTGAAGCCAACTACCACTCCTCCAATGCTTACCACAACTCCACCCATGCCGCGGATGTCCTGCACGCCACCGCCTTCTTCCTGGGAAAGGAGAGAGTGAAGGTAGAACTTTAATATCAGGATCTAGTTTCCTGCCTAGACAATTTTTTTTTTCTTTTACTACAAAATTGGTCATTTGGTGTTGTAAAGACATAGCCTTTTCTCATAGCCCTCCCCTCCCCCAAATGCCTAAAATGACTATTATGCCACAATTGAGCCCTCTACAGGCCTAGCCGATCTATGAACCCATTCTCCAAGTGTTTACTTTGTAATAATTACTTAGAGGCCAATATTTAATTATTATAATAGCAAATGGTTACTAGGTCTAGCGGTTAAGTTTTAGGATCGGAATTTGGTCATTGGTAAATTATGACCCAGATAGTAAAGCTCTTTCAGGACTGCACATTTGCATACGTGTGTATTATGTAGGAATGAATATGTATATCCTATATTAATAACTGTGTAATTCTGACTGAGTTCCATGTCCCCTTGTCTTACTTAGAAGCCAAGACTATCGTGTACAGGTGCTGATGTGTATGGTAGCCCTATGTACACCCATGTACAGCTGGCAAGAGATCACCATCTTCTGTCCTTCCTATCACCATTGGCACAATGAAGCTTTTAATTCCTTTGCTACAATCCAAACTGAAGCTTAGACTGTAGATACCCCTAGTAGAAGGCCTGTATAGAGACTGAAATTTGTATCAATCTGCAAATACCTGACATTATATATAGATATATATAAGCTCAAAGGCCTGGTACTTAAGGAGAAGCATAGTAGTGAGATAGGTAGAGGGTTATTTTCTTGTTTTGCCAAATCCTGGTATTCGCTTTCTTCAGCAAGAATGTAAAGAATGTGTTCCAAGAATGAAGCTTTTTTTATCCTACTTTATTTATTTTTAAGTTATATTTTTATTGATTTTTTACAGAGAGGAAAGGAGAGGGATAGAGTTAGAAACATCGATGAGAGAGAATCATCAATCAGCTGCCTCTTGCATACCTCCCACTGGAGATATGCCCACAACCCAGGCACATACCCTGACCGGAATCGAACCTGGGACCTTTCAGTCCGCAGGCTGACGCTCTATCCACTGAGCCAAACCGGTCTCGGCTTGTCTCCTACTTTAGAAAAAAAGTGTGATCAGAGGTGATATGGCCTGTTTTCATAGCACCTTTGAGGAGCTAAGATACCTCCAGATCCCCACTCCAGGTTCTTGTTCTCAGTTTTACACTGCAGGGTATTGTACAGCTGAGGTCCCCACTGCCCACTGAGGACAGGGCCTAAGGCATAACTCCAAAACCAAGTGATCTATAGCTACTGCAGTCTTGAGTTAAAGATGAACCTCATGTAAGCATAACCACTCTAGAAAAGTACAGATTAAATGCTTGATAAATTAGGGAATGCTTAGTCACTTTATTATCTCCCTCCCCTAAAATAAGAATTTTTGTTTACATTGAGAGTTCTACTAATGCATTCAGACTCTAGTTGAATTTCTCAAATAGCAACAGAAACAAGTCTAAGACTAGTAATACTCTTACCATTCAAAAGACATTTTCTAATTCTGTCACCCCTGCCAGAGAATCAGAATTTAGGAACCGTGGAGAATTGGGCTGGAAGGGGCTCCTGAGTGCAGAGACTGAGTCAGCAGCCCACTGCTTAATCCATGTGAGGGGCTTCGAGTGAGATTTATCCCTGAGGCCTCTTCCGCCAGAACTGCTGCCACTGACAGAGTCAGGAAAAAATGTTTTTACCAAATTCCCACGTCATCTGTTGCCCTAACTTCTTTATACATTAAAGCTAAAATTCTTTTTTTTTTCTTTAATATATTTTATTGATTTTTTACAGAGAGGAAGGGAGAGAAATAGAGAGCTAGAAACGTCAATGAGAAACATCGACCAGCTGTCTCTTGCACATCCCCTACCGGGGATGTGCCTGCAACCAATGTACATGCCCTTGACCGGAATCGAACCTGGGACCTTTCAGTCTGCAGACCGCTCTACCACTGAGCCAAACCGGTTTCGACTAAAGCTAAAATTCTTATTGTCACTGTGACACAGCTCCACATGCTCAGTCCCGCCATAGATATGCCCTTCAATTCGTGATGGACTCTGTCTGCTCCCCACTTACCAGTTCCCTGGCACACTGCAGTGGGAAGTCAAGATAACCATGACCCTTTTGGTCTTCTATGTGAGTGAATAACTTCAGACAAGGATCTGTTCAGAGGCCGATCTGGAAGGGAGTCCATTCTGGCCAATCTGCACCCAGTCAGCATCCAATAAGTGATTATCAAATGAATGAATTCATAAAGGACAATGTCTTATAAAAGAACAGCCCATTTGATAATTCTCTCCTAAAGCTGTGAACTGAGAAAGCATTTGTATCCCCCGATCTCTGCTTCATGTTCTTTAATAATGAGAGCTTTGGAGAGAGGGCTACCCTTTTGGCCTTTACCACCTGCCAGCCCAGAGCTGTATTTTGTCTTTAATAGCAAGATTTCCACCACCCTCCTCCTCCCCCCGCTTCACCTCAGTTTTACTGGGAAAATTCTGCTCACTCTTGATCCTCTTTGTACTCTTTGGTTCTAATCCTTTTACCTTTATCAGTAGAGTGTGTTATATCTGTGCCATTTACTTCCACACTCTCACTCTTTTCAGAAGTATGCAAATAAAATGAGTAATATCTGTGGTTATAGGCCACTTTCTGCTCTGCCACTCCTGGGAGAGAATCATGGCAATACCACATGGCAGGCATTTAAGAGGCCTGTTTGCCTTCTTCCTACAGAAGATCGGGAGTGAATGGATTCGGGGATGGGGGGGGGGGGATTAGATATCCATTTTATCCCTCCAAATAATTCACAGCACAGCAAGGTGATGCAATGTGCTGAGTAGATAGCCTCTCAGCTTCGAGGAAGTCAGAGAAGGCTCCGCGGACTGGGGAGAACATTCTAATCCCCACTCCCCAAGTCTGCCCCACCCGAGAGACAAGGATGAGTAAAAGTCTCCTACATCCAGTGGGTAATGCTCAACCTTGCCTCCCCTCACCTCAGGGAAGCCTGGACCAGCTGGATGAGGTGGCAGCGCTGATTGCTGCCACAGTCCATGATGTGGACCACCCAGGAAGAACCAACTCTTTCCTCTGCAACGCAGGCAGTGAACTTGCTGTGCTCTACAACGACACGGCCGTCTTGGAGAGCCACCACACGGCCCTGGCCTTCCAGCTGACGGTCAAGGACAGCAAATGCAACATTTTCAAGAACATTGACAGGTAGGCTGTACTTGGGCTCCTGTGCTCAGGTTTGTGAAGTGTTAAGTAGGATACTCAGTTTCCCCTAACTTCTCTAGTACTTAACTTCCTCATAGGGGAAGGAGAAGGGGAAGTAAGGACACATTGTACCATTGTGTCAGATAGTAAAATAATAACCTTGCCTTTATAAACTTAATTGTACTTTTCAGGCTGCTTTCATCTTTTTAAATCTCATTTAAATGAGTTCAATGAGTTCATGAAAATGTTTTATACACAGCAATTCTGTGAATACTGACTACAGTACTAATAACTATAATAGATGTTTTTACCCTTGCAGGAGGACATCTGTCTTTTGTGTAACTCAAGGAAAATGTATCCTTCCCTGTCTTTCCCCGGCTCAATCTTTGGCCACTTAAAATCCTAACTCACGAGGAGACAGTATCTACAGGTCCCAGCAGGGCTGCTGGAGCCCAAGCACTGGACAGGTTTCCCCTAATTGTTTGTCCTCTCTTCTGGGGAGAGTTGGCCAAGTGTGAACAGATAGGAGCAATTCCTCCTGCCTGTCACAACCCTGCAGTCAGGCTCTGTTTATTTCCCACAGAACACCAGCCAGACTGGGGAGCAGGCTCCTGGGAGAGGGCACAGAGCTCACCTAGGCCTCAAGCCCACTCGTCAGTCTCAAGGGTTGTTTTTAAAACTTTCACAGAAAGAATTCTTTCCAATAGCCAATTTTATTCAGCTGCAAGGTGGAAGGAACTGGACAGTAATTTGGGGCAGGATTGCTATTCCATCCATTACAACTTCTAATTGTAATTCAGAGGATTACTTATTAATGAGAAGACCTTCTTATAATGCCATCGCAGAAAGAAATAATTCAGTCTTGAATGGCATTTGGTCCTGTCCAAAACATTCACACCCAAAGGTCCTTGAAACTTGGTCTTGTCCAAAATGTGAATAGTTAATATCGATCCTGCTGTCCACTAATATTCAAATTCCAAACCATTTACCTAACCCTATGTGTCATGACTGGTGCAAGAAATGTAATTATTGGTAATACAGCCAGTATACAATTACTAGATCAATAAAGCCTGTATTAATATGGTTTTTTTTTTTTTTTTTACATATTAATCCTATCAACCAAAAGCGTAATACGTGCTATGGGCTGTCTGAACCCAAGGACATTTCTGAGGTGTGGACATTTTGGACAGGACCAAAGCCCACTAACCATCCTCTATACTAAGAATCATGGTGTCTGCACTGCATGCGATTAGGCAGCTCCTGAGGTGCTGTACCAGCCTTGTAGGGAAGGGACTTGTCATTTCCTTCTACCTCGACCTCACTGTTTGATGTTACCAAGATAAGGTACAAAGGAACCACCTTGTAAAATAAGTGTCTACCATATGACAGGTGTCTATATTCACTCATACTGTCATTGGGGAAAATGGAACAGTGTCAACAAGTCCTGGTTTCATGGGAAGATGAGCAGGTAAACTATTGTGATTTGCAGTCATTTCTTAACTCTGTGCCCAGCTCCCTCCTAAATTGTGGGAAGTGAGATGAAACCGTAGCAGAACAGTTCTAATTCGGGACATGATGTGAACAGGGCTCTCTGTCTTCTGGTTATTTTAGGAACCATTATCGAACACTGCGCCAGGCTATTATTGACATGGTTTTAGCAACCGAGATGACAAAACACTTCGAACATGTGAACAAGTTTGTGAACAGCATCAACAAACCAATGGCAGCTGAGGTAAGCATTTCTCATGTAATAAGATACATCAGAATATATTTCTATTAGAGCCTTTTCTCTCTCTCTCATGCAACATGGTTATTTGCTTGAAATTGGTAAGAAAGAGCTGAAAGTACTGACCACTTGTTTTCCTTGGGGTCAAGAATAGATTGACAGTGTCCAGAGCAACTTCCTTTAAGGAAGGTCCCGGATAAAACCAGCGGTGAAAAAAGGAGGTAGACCCAAAGAATAGGATGGAAGGCGCCTGCCAGCAGCACACAAGCATAAATGGTTCTATTTAAGAGATCCATGCCCTTTCTAATTCTGTTCTTTGACCTGTAGACCTCAATGTCGGGTGTTTTAAAGATCTCTATTCCTGCTGGTTTGCATTAAAAGCACATCAGTACCTAAAGACTACATACAGCCCAATTTGAAGTGACTAGTTGCAAACAAAAGCCCAACTTGTTTTTCCTCTAAAAATTTACTGATGTACCTTGGACCTGTGTTAAAGCCCCTATAAACTTGAGATTGGGGAACATGGATAGAAAGTTCACATCTCTTGTTTAAAATGAGATAAACTGCCCACCCCATAAAGTTAGAAAAGCTTTTTGCTCACTCCTGTTGAGCGGGAGAGGTTGCATATGTGGATAGTGGATGTCTTAAAAGTAACTGGACAATCAGTAAGGAGACTATTGTGTAAGACCCTATCACAGAACAGCCTGGATCGAAGGACAGTGTCCACCTCACCTGTGTCCCATGTCCCAGAGGTTCCACAGCACACTGCCAGGGTCTTTCCTTCCACAGAGGACTTATGGGGATGGGGGGAGGATCTGGGGATTTAGGAGGAAAAATTATAGAGAACCTTAGAATTTAGTGTTGGGAAGGTCATCTATCCAAGTAAGATTTATTACAGTATCTTCCCAATGCTAAGTAATAAAAACCAGAACCTTCAGAACATACCTAATTCTGCCCATTGATAGTCTAATAAATAGGCCCAGTCTCAAAACAATACAAACAAAAAAACCTTAAAATGTCATGCCGTCCTTCAGCTTGGCAGAGCTCTGGAGAGCTAATTAACTGTTTTCACACAATTAATTCAATGGTATCTTTGAAGGTAGAGAATAGCTATCAATCTTCCAGACTTTGCATATAACAGGTGTGTTGTTGCATTAATGTAAGCCTACTCATGGACCTGGCCGCTTAGTTCATAACCACTAACATGTATGATCAGTCTTTTTAAACATGCTAAACATACCCTGGCCCACCTTTTGCTCCTAGAACCCCCAAAGCCTATATGGTTCACACTCTGTACTACCCAATCAGAAGAGCAGCCAGGAAAGCATACGTGGACACATCCACTAAGAGAAAGAAAGAAAAAGTAGGAAGAAGTGGGTGAGTAGGAGAGAGAAGGCACAGGAGAGAGGAAGCTGGAAGGTATAACTAGAAGTAAATGAAAAAATAATTGAAGGGTCACATATATGTGTTATTATCCCATCTTTAATGTATTAAAAAACAAAATTTTGCTTTTACACATTTCCTGGTAAAACTGGGAGAAAAGCTCTTCTCCTTTAAGATTACAAACCGAATTACTAAAAAAAAAAAAAAAATCTGTGTATAGCAGTCCCCTCTGGGAAGAGGATGGAAGTGGGGGAGTAGGTGAGTAGTGACAGGAATGTTGACCTTGTACACTCTCAAGTTTTTATGTTGTTTGAGGGCTAACAAGAACATATCAGAGTATTATATATGAAATTACTGATAAGAAAACGGCCTTCTCTGAGTCAGTCATGCCTCAGTGTGCCGAGGGAGGCCATCTAAAGCCTGGTCAGCTAGCCCTTGTGGACCCACCATCATCTTGAACTAATCCTCATCCGGCACTGTTTTCCAGGTTGAGGGCAGCGACTGTGAATGTAACCCTATTGGGAAGAACTTCCCTGAGAACCAAATCCTGATCAAGCGCATGATGATTAAGTGTGCCGATGTGGCCAACCCGTGCCGCCCCCTGGACCTGTGCATCGAATGGGCCGGGAGGATCTCTGAGGAGTACTTCGCACAGGTACGTGGCCACAGTGGGGAAGCGTTTCCTCTCTCCGGGGACGGTCTGGCGGCACAGCACTCCCGGGATTCTCACTGCCACTTAGCTCATGACTCCTCCCTGAAGGAACCTCTGGCTCCCTCAAGAGACTGATGTGGCTGGGGAGGAGAAATAAACTTAGCCTTTGGAAGTATCTTTTCATCCTCAAATTGTTAGATCCTGAACTTAAAAAAAAAAAAAAAAAAAAAAAAAAAGGAAAATCATTCATTCACTAGGTTATCACCATTGTACATTATGGGGAAAACAGACACAAGCCATGGGTAGCTCATCAGTAGTAGAGGAAAGATGTAGAAATAGATAGGTCCACACAATAGCTTAAAAAAAAAAATCTCTAAGGGAGGTCTATGTTAAGTGCTAATTCAGAAAGATTTTTTTCCTCCTAGATAAAAGAGGGGCTTTGTGGAAATAAGAAAGGATGTTCTAGGAGAACAAAGCATTAAGAGCAAAATTAGTAAGGGGGGAGAAAAATCATAATTTTTATGTAAGGAGAGCAACAATATCTAGTTCACTTTGGCAGTACAAAGAAGTTAAGGTAGAAAAATCCAGAAAATAGTAGATTGCAAGATGCCATCTGAAATATAGGCCTAAGGAGGGAAGAGGCTCTGAGGACTGATGTGTGTGTACGTGAGGCAAGAAGACAAAAGCACTAATACCGTGTTTCCCCCAAAATAAGACATCCTCCGAAAATAAGACCTAGCACAACTTTGGGAGGAAAAATTAAGATACTTATTTTCGGGGAAACAGGGTAGCTACAAGTAATGCAGGGGGAGAGTCTCCATGGGTGTAAGGTACTAGTACCTCTGAGGTACATCAGCTGTTAATGACGAGCTAATGACATCTGAAAAGGCCAGCGAGGGGACTGGCCAGCTGAGGACTCGGTAAATTAGCTGCAACCTTCAAGGCTGGGAAGAGAGCCCCTGAATTGAAGGAAAGTAGGACAGGCAGTTCTGGGCTTGCCAGAAAGAAAAGGAAAAACACCCAACTAATCTTTGAACAACAATAGATATTTCACGGCATCTGGATCGACTAACCTGAAATGAGCAAGCTGAGTCCACAGCTGCTTGGAGGTGGTTAATGGACCCACAGAGAGGACCTGAACTCTTACTCCTAGTTATTCTCCAAGTGTGTGAACGGGAAATGGCAAAGAACCACTTAGAGTTCTCTAATGTAGCTCCTTGTTTAGGTGTCCTTTTCCCAAAAAGGATTGTTCTACTGTTCACAAGACAGTGTGACCTAAAAATCAAAAGTTACAAACGAGGCTCCAATCTGCTGGCCTCGGGCTCCACACATCACCAAGTACTATGGATCTTAATATTCAGCTCAGTGAATTACACCTTACACATATAAACACATATGCCAATGTGCAAAATACTCAGATTTATACATACCTTGAGCGAACTGCCTGACCAATACCCAAATCTGGTCCACAGACATAGCTTGTCGGTCACTCTTTCGAGTAAAAATAGTTTTCCCGGAGGAAAAAGGCTGGTTCAGCTGGAATGCATGTGTGCTTTTCCACAAGACAACCGGCATTGTGTGGAATGCAGCACAAGGGCTTTAGGAGTATTTTGTCACACAGTATTAAAAAAGATGAAAGTCAAAGGCCCAAATTTAGAAAGATTAATTCTTACTGCCTCAGTGAGGATGTTTTTAAGTGAAACTGGCTTTCTTTTCAAACTGCAAGCAGGTGACAGTGAATAATACAATGACTGGTGGTACAATTATGCTAAGGTATCAGCAGTTTTACCCATCATTACTTCTGTATCTCAGTGTAAATGTCAAGTCATATTATTCATATTACTTTGAAAATAGTCTTGACCTTGCTTTGTAGTGAAAATAGATCTCAGAAATGGGGGTATGAACCCCAAGATGATCAGTGCTTCAGTGGGGGGAGGGAGGGTATAGCATAAGAGACTTGAAAGTCAGAAGATCTAGCATCTCATCAGGTAATTGACTTACATATGTCCCAGGACCTTGCTGAGCCTATTTTCACAGGGTGTTTCTGAGGCACTAGAGCACACTGTGACCGTCCGTATGTGCCCTAGAGCCTGTGAGTGTTATGTCTTACAGACTGATGAAGAGAAGAGACAGGGACTACCTGTGGTGATGCCTGTGTTTGACCGGAATACCTGTAGCATTCCCAAGTCACAAATTTCCTTCATTGACTACTTCATAACAGACATGTTCGATGCTTGGGATGGTAAGATACTTCCTGTTTTGTCATCTACACTAAATATTATCCTTTATGATGATTACCGTTAACAACATAAACTGGGCCTAAAGGTATAAATGAAATGTTTTGTGTATTTTTTTTTAAAGTCGGCTGCCTGTGGCCAGGTATGGTGGGGTGCTAGTATAAAAAAGACTCAATGAATGTTGGATAAATGGACAAATAAGTCTTTACCTCTTCCAAGGATCTCTCCTAAAGCTTAAAGCAGTTTTATTCTATCATTGGGAAAAACTTCAGTAAGAACACAAAATAGTATTAAGTCTACTCTAAATCATAGATTCTTTTGGTAATGGCTTTTCAGTTTTTAATTAAAAGGACCTATTTATATTTCAGAAACTAATGCTGTGTGTTCATGTGCAGCCTGAGGTCTAAAGTAGGGCACTTCTGCAATTCTGATCCCAAATTTGTCCCACAGAGCCCTGGATCTGACTTAACAGGCTTCTTTTGATTCTTTTATGTCCTTGCAGCCTTTGCACATCTGCCAGCACTGATGCAACATTTGGCCAATAACTACAAACACTGGAAGACATTAGATGACCTGAAGTGCAAAAGTCTGAGGCTTCCATCTGACAGTTAAAGCCAAGACAGAGAAGGGGACCTCTTTCTGTCAAGGGCATGTGAATCACAGTAGTGTAAACAAGAGACTTTCCTTTGTAATGAAAATGACAAGTGTAGGTCAAGGAGCTAATGTTTAATATTTGACTTTGAATCAAGTCCCCAGATTTTATTTTTACAAAGTTAAAAAAAAATGTTCTTTATAAAATCAATGACAGAACAAACCCATGGCAAATACCTTTGCCATGCTGTCGCCCTGTGTGCACTCATCAACCATGGAGATGAATGACTGTAACTAGAAGGACATACACAGCACAGACTTGGTGCCTCTGAGACCATCTCCCTGGATGGTGACCAAGTAGCTTAGATAGAGTTCAGCTCATATTTTACCATAAAAATCACCATCACTGTTTAGCTTGACTATTTTCCACAAGAGCTTCAGTCTGGTGGATTCATACTATCTAAGAAAAACTATATATAAAATGAACTAGGACCAAATTATTGATAAACAAGTTAGCTTTACTGGCTAAGTGTTTCTTCTGATTGATGTTATGACACCCAAGTTAGAACCCAGCCTTGGCCTGTTGAGTGCCTTCGAGTCTGGTAGCAGCTGCCTATATCCCTCTCTCCTATAAAAGGAATTAATTCATCTTAACAGAAAGCCATCCATGATGGGGAAGGGAGTGACATTCTGTTTTGGGGGACTCTATGAGATCCCCTTATTTCTGGTTAATAGAGGCAGTCACAAGGCACTATAGTATTATATAAAAGCCATTAAATCTGAATGCCCTGGGACAAGCTTTTTTAAAAAAAAGAAAAAATTTATATACATTTGCTGTTGAAAATTTTTATGAAATCAATCTAAATTTTCTGGATATAAATCAACCAAGTATGTTGTATCATGTACCATCTCTGTGTATATATTTGGGGAGGGATGAAGTTTCAAGGTTCATATGTTTTTAACCTATCTGTATTTGCAATCATGCCATTTTCCTTTAACGATGTAAAAATATTGCAAGATGTGTAAATATATTGAAAATAGACATATGAGGAAACAGTAAATATTATTAATTGTATGCTAAAGCTTCTAAAGCACAAGTGCATATTTTTATACAGCTCTTTTCACAACTTTCTGTGATCTACATGAAGTCAGACTTGAATATTTTTCCTTTTATCAGTCAACCCTTCTCTATGTATTATAAACTCAGTAAACAAAATATCTTCATTTTTCTTCCAAATTCTTTGTACTCATGCTGCATTTTTTAAGAGATATAAACAGAGACTGAATTAACTGAATTAGTAGATAGTTACTTTTTTCAAATGAAAATTGGAATGCAGAAAACTTGGAATTAGTACATGGGGGAAAAATGTCTTATCATTACATAATGTGCCAATATTTTTTTAATGTTTTATACCAAAAATGGAAACATATATGACAATTCCATGCAAAGAAGTGTATCTAAATTATTTTATGTAAGAAAACTTGCTTAGTCAGGACAGCAGCTAGCGTTATATTATAATGCTACATTATGAAAACGTTTTTGTGAGATACTTGTAACTAAAATCTTACAGCCATTTTTCATTTCCAACAGCTATTTTTTATTTTACCTCCTTTTTAACCTAAATTTTTCATAACTTCAAAATTTCAGTTTAGTGTCCTTTATTTCATGAGTCATTTACTTGTTTTCAGAATTCAGGGTATCAGAATCCCATTTAAGGAGCTAGGTAATTTGCCTAGACTTCAGAAGCTTGCTTGCGCCAAGGACAATCTTTTCCTGACATCAGCTGCATCACATTTTCTATTGCAGCTTATTCAGTGGAATGTCAAATTCTTTTAAGACTGCCAGGTACTAAAGCTTCATTATAGTTCTGCTCTTTATCAGTGTATGTAATCTACTATTATGTAATTTTCTGAGTTGCTACCTAAATAATGCATTCTTCCAAATAGACATTTTATTAGAAATGTGATGTGGTCTTTCAGATGGATATAAACTATTATAATTGCCTCCTATCCTGAGTTGTTTACTAAAAACATTGTATTGAGGGGAGCTATATGAATTTAGGAAAATGCAATCCTATCTAATACAGAGAGGTCATATTATTACTACTACTAAACAACAAAAAAAGTTAGGTTATCTGCACCAGAACAAATAACCCTACAATTTAAATCATTCTTTACTTGCAATTTAAAATTTGCTTGCCTTCAAGAGTCTTGTAGGCAAAGAACAAGCCTTACCTGTTCAATCAGAATCTCACTTGAAGAGAAATGAAAGGGATGCTCCAAAGTTTAAGCTCTTGATTGTGCTATGAATACAACCAGAGAATGAGGTTAATAAGGCACACTACATAGTGTTACTTGCAACTAAAATGGAAAAAAATGTACATAAGTGTATTCTTCTAAATTAGGGCATTCATGAAAGCAAAAACAAGTCCAGTCAGTGGGTTTGGGGCTTCCCTGTAGACCAGTGGTTCCCAACCTTCCCAATGCCGTGGCCCTTTAATACAGTTCCTCATGTTGTGTGACCTCCACCCATAAAATTATTTTCGTTGCTACTTCATAACTGTAATTTTGCCACTGTTGATGAATCGTAATGTAAATATCTGTGTTTTCCGATGGTCTTAGGCTCTACAGCAGCGGTTCTCAAACTGTGGGTCACAACTGTAGACCACTGCTGTAGAGCTTAAGTCTATCGGAAAACACAGATATTTACATTACGATTCATTAATAGTGGCAAAATTAGTTATGAAGTAGCAACGAAAATAATTTTATAGTTGGGCACATGAGGAACTGTATTAAAGGGTCGTGGGGGCATTAGGAAGGTTGAGAACCACTGCCCTAGACAGTTTTTTATGGCAGAAAACTAACTAGAGTATCTAATAGATCAATTTGCCCTGGCAGTATTTTCTCCCAGAACTCACCTGTGGTTTGTATCACTCCATTCTATTCAAGGATACTATCACAAATTACTAACCCAGAACATATTAGGAAATAAAGCAGTTAAAATGATGAGTTTCTCATATAATTCAACGATTATGTCATAAACCATTCAAGAAGACAATTTTACAAACTCCTAATGTAAAATTTCCAAAGAAAAACCACTAGCTAGTAATGGAGTAAATTAAAGCCTAAAAATTATTCTGAGATATTTAACCAAACTGAACAAACATCTGATGCACTCAGACCAGAATGCATGTCTGCCTGTTGCTGGGATGCTCCAACTTCAGAATAAAAGATTAGAAAGCTATTTCTACAACTCCTCCAATATGCCACAAATAACAAGTTGTTGGATAACATTCATGTTCTATTCTGTAATGGGGTAACAGATTTTAATATATTTCTCCATAAAGCCATTTTTATTATAAATTAAAACAACTAATTATTTGCTTTTTCTTACATGGCAGTCATTTAAGTCTTTATCTTTGATTTGTCTTTAATGCCACTCATTGATAAGGGGACAAAGCTAACACATTGCATGGCCTTACCTCTATGGGCCTCAGGTTTCTCATTCATAACATTATGGCACTGGTCTGGCATAGATAACCTTAGGTCTTCTGGTCTTTGGTCACAGTTGTGAAAGCAACTGTCAAAAGTAAAAACTAGTAAAAAACAATTTATAAAGATTCCATCAAGAGTGTGTGTGTGATGAATAAAACTGTAGAAAGTTTTCTTTGAGAAGGATCAGTCCTCTGACATATCCGTCACCTTGCACTTACTTTACTAGAATTCTTTCACCAACAGTTTAAATTTAAAAATAACTCCAATACTAAACTCACCCATTTTTAAAGTGTGGAACACTTCTTAATTTTTATTCTTTAGTACCAAAAGGGAGAAAGAGTGCTCTGATATAAAGCCGGTGGGTGATGAAGATGACTAAATCTCTGGCCACTGAAAGAAACTAAATGAAGCCTGTCTCAAGCATTTCATTTCTGAGTCAGTGGTAAGGTGAACCAGGCACTTTGGACTGTCGTTTCTGACTGGAACACTTTACTCATGTAGCTCTCACCCCTGGCAGGTATGAGGGCAGCAGCTAGTATAGTACCAATCCATCGAACAGCTCTCTTCAGGCCAATTCACACTGGGAAGAAAAATACATCCTCATAAGATTCCTACTGATTTGAGTTTATAGGAACTTTAGTAGCTAGAACTAAAAATAAAAAATCATTTGACAAATTAGTTGGCATCAGAGATTCAAATTTGCTCTATAGAGCCTTTATAATTAGTTATTAAAGATGAGAGGAATTTAGAGGAGAAGGGATATATTTAAATTAGTCACAAGGATTCTTAATCAAATGGGCTCTAATGATAACCAAGGAATAAAGAACTTCTAATTAACACCACAACTTTACTGTTCTGTTTGAACCTCATGAACAGCACTCCCCACGTCAGCAGCACAAGTGCAATTATGCACTCTCCATTTCTTACAGGAAGAAAGTTCTCGGGAGAGCTCAAGGTTTACATTCAAGTTATGCTACATCCTACCTCTTCTTCAGTGGGTTTTTCCTCCCAAAACATCTATAATTATCATGTATACTTATATCCTTAAATAAAATTTTAAAGAAATGAAAAAGGATATGTAAGCTTTTCATTTTGGAGAACAAAGGTATTTCAAAATCCAAAGACTAAATGAAAGAAACTATATGCATCTTTTTAAAAATCTAATGATAAGAATTGGAAGTAATAAAATTATACTAAATAAAGAAAGAGGTTCTGAGTACTATACTCATTTATCACAAACTCATAATTTCTGGTGTAAAATTTTCTAAAGCATAAATTTTTAAATTGTAAGGACATTATGGGACACTATGGTATACTTTAATTCTGTATCAACAGATACTTGTATTGTGATCTGAAAACTTCACCTTTTGAAAATTCACTGCTAAAATATTTGTGGTATATTCTTTGGTGGATATACTCACACGTCAGAAGCAACTTGTTGCTAGTTTGCATGTCCCCTTTCTGCCCCCACAAAAAAAGAATTCAAACAATCAGAATTTTATAGAGTAACAAGAAAAAAGTACATTACACATTTAAGTGAGTACATGTTAATGGTTTTCAGAGTATTACACTGTATTTGAAGTTCAAGTTCATGCACATGTATTCTAAATTCCTTAAACTAGGCAGGAAGATACAAGTCACCATTTTCCTCTAATTTCTGAAATAATTTTAAACTGCGCAATCCAGATTCACGTTCTCCGTTTTTCCATAAAATAATGAGATGATCAGCGGAGCATGTCACTAGTCCATGATCTTCAAAGTATAGAAACATCTGTAAAGAAATTTAAAACTACTGAGTACAGGAACTTCAAGGAGAAGAGACATGGCCAAATTAAAGCAACACGTGTGTTTGTAAAATGTGTACCTTGGAGATGTCTTTAGATCTGAGTGTAAGACTCCATACCATTTTCCATGAGAAATTTTAAGTGTTGATTATAGTCACATGGAAATATATAAATGCTAAAAATATAAGTACTAGACCAATATCTAATATTTTAATAATTAGAACTTTAATAATATCCAACTACAGAACTATTACAGCTATTTTTGTAATATACATTAATCCCCAGAGTATCTTCTGTATTTTACCATCTAATTTTCTTCAAGTACTAGTTTTCATATTTTGTCAGAAGTCCTGAAAGATTATTTTACTTAATCACTTATACTTGCCCCTTTATTTATACACAAATGGCTTCCAAAAAAGTCTGAATTCTCTAAGATAAACACTGACTTGAGATCTGTAAATGAAGCAAGATATAATCTATCCATACATAAGCATTTATTGAGTGTCGTCTATATGCATATAGACCCTTACCTTCAAAAAGGTTCTAATTCAGTTGCTGAAACAATTAGGGCACCAAAGACTGTGTGATAAGGTACTATATAATAAGTAGTTCAGATTATAATTTGTCACAGAAATTCAGAGAAAGAGGACATAGGTCAATAGTAAATGAAAATGTCAGAGAAAGTTTCAAAAACATAAACCTATCCGAAAAAAGGGAAGGTCATACCAAATGAATGAATAGGCTGGAAATTCAGGATAGGAAAAGGGAATGCTGCTGAGAAGGCAGCATAATTACTATGGAGTGAAGAGAGGTCATGAATGAAGTCATGAAAAGGATGAACTCTTCCAAGGAAAGAATGAAATAAAGGAAAAAAATAACATTAAAGAACACAGGAGGACAAGAATTTTCTTTGAAATAACTTCTACATTTTGAAGATAGCAGGATGAGGCCTCAGCTCTTTATGTAGGAGTTGAAGGGGGTTAATATTGGAACGAAATTCCTCGGGACATGGAAAAGAGCACACAGGGGTTCGATTACAGAGTATAGATGAAAATATAATAAAAGGAATGAGAAAATTCAGGAGATAGAAAATCTAGTCTCTCTGATACTTAGTGAAGCCAGAGATACAGTTTAAAAAAAAAAAAAAGCTTTTAAATATCAATATTTTCACTCAGGAAAATTCTTAAGAAACTTACATTTGTATATTATGACAACTGTGCAACTTTGAAGGTTTCCTCCACCACTGAGCAATACATGTGAAACTTTTAATGGATTCCTACTATTTTAAAAAGAAAGTCCCATCTCCTCAGCCTTACATTCAAGGACGCAGTGGTGGGCAAACTCATTAGTCAACATAGCCAATATTAACAGTACAACAATTGAAATTTCTTTTGAGAGTCAAATTTTTTAAACTTAAAACTTCTTCTAATGCCACTTCTTCAAAACAGACTTGCCCAGGCCGTGGTATTTTGTGTAAGAGTCACACTCAAGAGGCCAAAGAGCCACATGTGGCATGCAAGCCGCAGTTTGCCGACCACGGTTCAAGGGCATTCATAATCTAACCCAAAACTGCTTTCCCAGGCTTCATCTCCTATGCCAGCCCATGTCCACAGAATCCCAATGCTCTGGAAGATCTTTTCATTGCCTCCAAATAGTTCCTATTTTTGTCCTTTTGTCTACCACATTCCATCTCTACCTCTCCCATATACCCAAGCTAATGAAGACAAAATTAAACAACAAAATAACTGGATTACTTGTTAGAGGAAAGCAAAGATGATTACCCAATATCTGGGAGCATCAGTCCTACCTAACTTTTAAGGTTCAGCTCAAGTCCCCTATCTTCCACTAATCATTTTCTTCTCATTCCTGACTCTCCACTGTCTGCTATGAATTTGAGTCCATACAAGAAGCCTAGATTAATAGCTTACTAGGTCTGTCTCCTTTCTCACTACTAAAGTATAAGATCCATAAGGGCAAGTATTACAGTTTTATATCTCCTTGTAAACTACACTGTCTAGTGTAGTGCCTGAAATGCAGGAAATGCTCCTATTAAATGTGTGGTAATTCTGCTCCTAAGCATAAATGCACTTTCAAATGAGAAGTAATTTGTTTCTCCCTGTCTATGAAACAGGAGAACAATTTAATAAAGTCATTATTTAGGGCCTTGTTTATACTGCTATCACACTATTACCAGTTCCAATCATCTATTTATATTGATTATTCTTATTCCTTCATTATAGGCAATGGTGCTTATAAAAAATATTAATGTATTTGGATTACCACAAGTTAGAATTGTATGCATTTTGTAATTCTCAACTAATATTTTCATGTATGCATAATAATAATCAAGAACCTGGGTTTTACTAAAGCTGACAAATTACGATCCTTCAAAGGGAGGTAAAACAGCACTGTAGTCATGAATAAGACTGTAAGGCTAAATCTCTCTCTCTCTCTCTCTCTCTCTCTCTCTCTCTCCACAATATTCTCTCTCTCTCTCTCTCTGTCTCTTTCCACAATCCTCTATTTACTACTGTTATATATCCAACATTGTTCACATTGTCCTTACTGTCAGCTATCTTCATCTCATAAATAATGGTAATTAAGCCCATTATTTAGAGCAGTGATATTCAACTGGTGTGCTGCAACTATTTTTAAAACATGCACTACCTGACTATTTAGTCAGGGGCACTGATATCTTTTTCCTTATATTGACAATAGCAAACAAAACAATAACTATCTGGTGTAAATGAATCAAAATGATATCTATTCTTTTGTCAGACTGGAAAAAAATAGATTGAAAATAGCTGCTCTAATTGAAATTTTGTACCCTTGAGTGGGGGCCTGGGCCTGCCAGGATGTGTAGAAAGTTTGGCTTCCTCCATTCCCAGGGAAACCCAAGCCTCCCTCCTGCTCTCTGTGGCCACAGTCATCTTGGTTGGGGTTAATTTGCATATTTGCTCTGATTGGCTGGTCGGTGTGGCTGTGGATGTAGCATGGTATAGTTAATTTGCAATTACTATTTTATTAGATAAGATAGATTAAAAACAATACCTCTACAGATGAAGAGTGTCCAATCAAATCTCCAATAAGCTCCAGTAAAAATGAAGTGGCATTTTCTTGTTGCTTTTTAACAGGTTGGCTGGCTTGTTTGTTCACTTTTCCAAATCCCCACATGTTAAAAAAACCTAGAGAAACACAATCAATTCAGGTATTTTCAAAATTACTGTGCTCTTCTGATCTATCTAAAACCCTAATATGCAAACCAACCAAATGGTGAAACGACTGGTAGAATGACCTGTTGCTATGACACATACTGATCACACCAGGGGGCAAGATGCTCAACGCAGGAGCTGCCCACAGCCCACAGGCCCCAACCGGCAGTGGTGGCAGGGGGCGGGGCCAGCGAGTGGGCAGCACCAAGGCAGCCAAGGCAGGAGCGAGCAGGGGCCATCTGATCACCTCACCAGTCACCCCGAAAAGGGAGGTGACAGGTGATAGGCAGCAGCGATGGGAGAACAGGGCTGGCTAGGGGGCAGCATCAGGCCAGCCAAGGCGGGTGTGAGCAGGGGCCCATTCACCCTGACAGTCACCCCACAGATCAGCCCTGATTGCCAGCCAGGCCTAGGGATCCTACCTGTGCAAGAATTTCGTGCACCGGGCCTCTAACAGTAATATAAGATTAGAAAAACAAAATTTAGATGCGAAGACCTTCTGTGATTTTTTTTTTTTAAATCCTCATCCAAGGATATCTTTCCTTTTTTTTTTTTTTTTTTTTTTTTTTTTTAAGAGAAAATGGAAGAGATTGGGAGAGACAGAGAAACACTGATGGGAGAGATACATCAACTGGTTGCCTCCTGCACCAGGTATGTTGCTAATATCTCTTTTTGCCCCTAATCACCCACTGGTGAAGGTGTATTGATGTGAGAAAAAGACAGACACTGGGAATAAAAGAGAAGTAAAAAGGCCTGGATGGAAGAGCTCCCTCTCCCCCCAAAAAAGTCACAATTCAGATCTATCAACAAGGGCTGACCAAAAGGAACATGACTGTCCAAAAATAATGCCCTATGACTCCAGATGACCAGAGGAAACTCCAGCGGTACCGCATCTGATTTCTCATGCAAAAGTTGCTAATTAACCAGGATTTTGTTTTATAAACCAAACACCTGAAAGTTGAGTTCATGAGATTATGATATAAACATAAATGTGTGTTTTTCAAAAACAGATTTCAATGTTAATGATATAATGCCTCAAGTCTGAAAGAACACTTTGACACCTGACCATACAAACTGTGTATCAGACACAATTATAAACAATATAAATGCATAATTACTTCAATAGGCCATCTGATCAATTACTAGAAAATAAGTTTCTCCTCAAAACAAGAAAATCCTAACGAACTTGGAAAGAAATAAAGAGGCAATTCTATATTAAAACAATTTTAAGATGTGACTCCTAAATCCCAATTACCATATGCTTAATATAGACATGCCTATTTCTTGTGGTTATACATAACTGCCTTTCCTCTGTCTTTTATATGAGAAAAAAAAGAAAGACTGCCTTTTTGAGAAAAGATACACACCTGTTGGTACAGATTCAGCTGCAATTTGCTGTTTTTCTCGTAACTCCCAAATGCGTACACTGCCATCTTCTGAGCATGAGATTAACTGCCTGTCAGACAGAAAATCAGTGATAAAAAGAACATTATGGAGGGCCAATGCTAAATGTGCAGTGAAAGGAATCAGTAGAGCCCTCAGTTGCTTTTATTCAGCTCTTGGCAGGAGCTGATAAAAACCATAATTTAACATGGCTTTCTCAATGCAAAGTAAAAGCACTTTTCAGGAAAGACACACGTTATATTGTAACATTGGCTCAAATGTTATAAATATTCCGTCATCATTTTTTAAAATGCATTCAGGAAAACAGGGTACGAATTACACTTTCTTAATATCCTGAGCGACAGTCCTCTGTCCTCCCCTCACTATATCCCTGCTCAGGGTGTCTCTAACTCTGAAAATAACCTGCAGAGAAAATAATACTATTCTCTTCATATAATTTTCTCCCTAAAAAATCAGCAGCCAAATTTACTGAGAGGAAAGTCCTCAGTACCCTTTGACAACAGGAGGTTTCCATTTGATTCTGGCTATAAACAAACAACAAAAAGATGTGTTTATGGGAAAATATAAAAAAGAATTAGCACTTAGTAAATACCCAAAAATCTTTTATCTTTTAAAAGAAATGCCATATTTTAAAATAGTGCTTCTTATAATGAGATTCAATGTAATTCATCTGAACCTTGCTTCTTGTAAGTTTTGTAATACATTGCCACAAACTCTTTTATTAGAGACAGCCACGTGGTATTATCCATTTCCAAAAGAATATAGCAGGTCAAGTCACAAAGCCAGGCAACTTTGCCACTTGAGAAATTACATCGGTAGCTCTAGGAAGTGTGAATTTCTCTCATCTGTTGCAAAGCAGATGGGAACCTGTACCTGTTTGGAAGCTTGGCAATGTGCAGGACCCTGGAGTCATGGGCAGTTTTCTGGCAGGCAATCACACGCTTCATTTGAAGGTTATACACGTATAAACCCCTTCCAACTGCAACAAATACATTCTGGAGGGGAAATTCAGAAATGGGCATAAAACTAGTGTTTACCACTTCCTAGTGTAATAGATTTCCAGCCCCAGTGTGACATCAGAAAATCAGTTACCTTCCTCTATTCCTAGTCTTCATCCCATATTACTGTGCTGCCCTCTGAAGTTCAAACATTTCAAATCATGAAGGAAAGCCCAGCATTTAGAAGGCAGAAGGACAAAATTGCAAATACAGAGAAAGCTCTATATATTACACCACTAAGCATCACTTTCTTCTTATTGAAATACTAGAGGCCCAGTGCACACAATTTGTGCACTGGTAGTGGGGAATCCCCAGCCTGCACCCTCTCACAGTCTAGGAGTCCTCAGGGGATGTCCAACTGACAGCTTAGCCCACAGGGAGCAGGTCTATGCTGTCAGTCGGACATTCTTAGTGCTGTCGTGAAGGTAGAAGAGGCTCTTGCCACCGCCACTGCACTCGCTGGATATGAGCCTGGCTTCTGGCTGTGGGAACGCACTGGCCACTAGGCATGCTCCCGCATTGAGCATCTGCCCCCTGGTGGTCAGTGCGCATCATAGTGACTGGTTGTTCTGCTGTTCAGACAATTTGCATATTAGACTTTTATTATATAGGATAACAGCTAGAAAAAGAGCTAGTAGATTAGCTCTGCAGCAGAAGAGGCTAATATACAAGCTAAGTATTGACTCAGATAACACAATACCCTTGGGAAAATTCTTTAGTTTCTTTTCCCTGTTAATGTGAGCAAAATTACTAGGTGCAGAAGTTAATAATGTGGATTTTTTCTCCAAAAGATGGAGTTACACATATGTTGATATATATGTGATTTTATAAGTATGCTATTTTGTTGTATTGACAGCAAGCTTCAAAATACAATGAAATAAAAGTTTCCTCTCTTCAAAGGTAAACTCTTAAACATTTTTGTTGTTAATCCTCACTCGAAGATATTTTTTCCATTGAGTTTTAGAGCTGAGGGACATGGGGGGTGGGGTGGGGTATTCCCCGTGTGTGATAGTGGTAGAGAAACATCAATGTGAGAGATTGATTGCCTCCCACAAGTGCCCTGGTGAGGGTGGGGGTCAGGGGGTCAAGATCAAAACAGTGAGCCTCCAGTGCACAGGCTCACACTTTAACCATTGAGCCATGCCTGCCAGGGCTTAAACATTCCTTACAATTACATTTATTCTTAAATGCAAATGCCCCTTTAAATACGTTTTCTGAGCCAGGATTCATTAATCTAGTGCTATTCATCCCTTACTGCAAAAAAGATGTAAAGTACTTCAAGATTACTATCTCCAAGGCCTAAAGGATACTAGGAGACCAAAAGAAAAACTCTTTGATATTTTTATTTTCTTTACTTCTCTAAGAAATGCACCAGAATTTTAAAAAGGATTATTTTCCCAAAGTATTTCTTAAAACGATTAAAATCATTATTCTCAATCCTGTGGAATTATTTAATCCAACCCAAAATTTCAATAGAGCTTATAAATATATGGCCATTTAATCATTTCCTTGCCTTATAGAAGCTAAGATTAAAATGTTTTGTTTTTTAATGCAAGTGGTACAATCTTCAAACAATATCAGAACATTTTAAAGCAGAAGTTGAACATGGGTAATAGATTAAATTTAAAAAATTAGAAACAGCGCCCTAATCGGTTTGGCTCAGTGGATAGTCAGCCTTTGGACTCAAGAGTCCCAGGTTCGATTCTGGTCAAGGGTATGTACCTTGGTTGCAGGCACATCCCCAGTAAGGAGTGTGCAAGAGGTAGCTGATTGATATTTCTCTCTCATTGATGTTTCTAACTCTCTCTCCCTCTCCCTTCCTCTCTATAAAAAATCAATAAAATAGATTTTTTTAAAATTAGAACCAGGGTTTATTTAAAAAGGAAACTTTATAGATACTTTCTTTATTTTTCTTACCTCTTCATCCCATGTCAAATGATGAATAGAAATGTCATTTGGTTTTTGACAGAGTTTTATTTCTTGCTGAGTGTCCAACTGTGGAAATGGGTCCCAGAAGTTGTGTTCACAGGCCTGCATGGTCCAGTCCAGGATATCCCAGATGATCAGCTCTCCAACATGGGAGCCAGTCACAAAACTCAGATCTAGGCAGAATTCATATAGAGCTCATTATTGATCATTTTACCAACAGATAAAAATAAATGGACTGCCTAGTAATAATGCTTTACAAAGCCCTAGCTAGTTTGGCTAAATAGATAGAGCATCGGCCTGTGGATTGAAGGGTCCCAGATTGGATTCCGGTCAAGAGAATATGCCCAGGTTGCGGGCTTGATTCCCAATAGGGAGTGTGCAGGTGTCAGCCGATCAATGGTTCTATCTCCCTTTCCCTTCCTCTCTGAAATTAATAAAATATATATTTTTAAAATAATGCTCTACAAAACCACAATAAGAACAATAAGGTACCTAGATGAACCAAACAGGATAATTAATATTACAGAACAGAAAGATCAGAAACAGACTCAAGTTTACCTACTTAGTACATGGTAATGATTGTGTTTCAATTAGTGAAAAAGAAATACCTCATACTAGAACATTTGGTTAAGTATTTGGGAAATAAAAATAAAAGAACCTTACTTTGAATCATGTTGATTTAGAAATCCTATACTTCTCCTATGTGTTTCCTTTAACTTTAGACTACTACCGCACTCACAACACTTCTGACATCAGATATGTGGGTTTTTCCCACACCAAGTAATTCTATAACAGCAAGGTGGCCTACAATTTAACTTAATTCTGACACTATCTATCTGGAGACAGCATCAGATGTCACAGGTTAAGAGCTCAGTCTCCACACACACACTTCAGATGCCAATAATAACAACTCCAAGTTGTTATCTGTGCTTCTGACAGATCAGCTATAAATCAAAGGTTCTCATAACCCCTTCTCAAGTTCAACTAATTTGCTGAAGCAGCTCACAGAACTCAGGAAAACAGCTTACTTATTACCAATCTTAGAGAATAAAAGGCTAATATGCAAATCATCCCCTCAGGAGTTCGATCGACCAGGAGTTTGACCACTCACTATGACATGCGCTGACCACAGGAGACAGTGCAGAATGAAGGAAGGTCCCAGCCAGCCCCGATCATCTCTGGCCAGGCCTAGAGACCCTACCTGTGCACGAATTTCATGCACCAGGCCTCTAGCATATTATAAAAAAATATGGTAAAAGATACAGATGAACATCTAGATGAAGATGAACAGGCAAGGTAAGTGGGAAGGGCTATGAGCTTCCATGCCCTCCAAGCATACCACTCCCCCAGCACCTCCACAGGTTCAGCAATCTGGACACTTTCTGAATCCCATACTGTTGATATTTCTATGAAAGCTTCATCATGTAGGCAAGATCAATTATTAACTCTATTTCCAGCCCCTCTCCCCTCTTTGGAAAACGGGGGAATAGAGCTGAAAATCCCAAGCTTCTTATGATGGGTTGGTTTTTCTGGTAACCAGGCCCATCCAGGAGCCCACCAAGAAAGAGTGGCCTCATCAGAACAAAAGATGCTGCCATCACCCAGGAAATTCCAAGAGATCAGTACTCTATGTCAGGAAATATTAAAACAAGAGATGCTCATTATACTCTTATCACTTAGGACAGTGGTCAGCAAACTAATTAGTCAACAGAGCCAAATATCAACAGTACAATGATGGAAATTTCTTTTGAGAGCCAAAAAACTATTTCTGCACATGGGCCACGAAGTTTCAATCGCACTATTGGTGTGCACCTGCACATGGTATTTTGTGGAAGAGCCACATTCAAGGGGCCAAAGAGCCGCATGTGGCTCTCCAGCCGCAGTTTGCCAACCACTGACTTAGAAAATTGTAAGTTTTAGAAGCTCTGTGCCAAGAACTTGGGACAGAGCCATATATAAGATATATTACTTATATTGTTTCACACCAAAATAAGTTACGAAGAGATTAAAATATTGAAGATAGTTGAAACTGGTTTGGCTCAATGGATAGAACGTTGGTCTGTGGACTGAAAGGTCCAAGGTTCAATTCCGGTCAAGGGCATATACCTTGGTTGCGAGCACATTCCAGGTGGCAGGTGTGCAGGAGGCAACTGGTCGATGTATCTCTCTCATCAATGTTTCTAGCTCTCTATCCCTCTCCCTTCCTCTCTGTGAAAAATCAATAAAATATATATTTTTAAAAAATACTGAAGATACTTAAAGGAATGAAGAAAACTAAGATGAATACTTTTTATTAATATGTAGTAAAAGGCTCTAAAGGAGGCAGGTGGGGGTTGGGGAAAGGCATCTGAGTTAATATCTGCCTAGAAAAAAAAAAACCCAACACATTTAAATGACAAAAAGATGAGGGAAATTTGCGACTTAGATGTCAAAATAAGTGGGATTTTTATTTTTGTTTTTAAATCTTTACCCAAGGATACATTTTTGTTTTTGTTTTTTTATTGATTTATTTTTATTTTTTTATTTTATTTTTGAGAGGAAGGAGAGAGGGAGAGAAAGAAATATCATGTGAGAAACACTGATCGATTGCCTCCCACATGTGCCCCAACCAGGAATTGAACCTGAAACATTTCGGTGTACAGGATGACACTCCAACTAAAGCAAAATAGGTTTATTATATTTGATACATAAGAAGTTCTTAGAAATCACTAAGATCAAGATAAATACTTCAGCAGAAAAAAATAGGCAAAGGTTCTTAACTGGCAAAACAAGAAATATAAATGGTCAGTAAACGTTAAGAAAAGATGTTCCCTTAATAATAAAAAACATTCAAGAGCAATGAGATACTACTGACCAACTTGCTAATGGGAAAGATTATAAAACAGGAAAATACCCAAATGCTAATAAAAGCAAAGGGAATCAGCACACTCCCACACTACGATATTCTAGTATAAAGTGATATAATCCGTTCAAATTTGGAAATACACATCAAAACCTTTAAAAAACATGTAAACCCATTGATAAAACAAGTCCACTTCTAGGAATTTATCCAGAGGAAAGTATACATAAAAGACATATATAAAAGGTTGTTATACATAGTATTAAAAGTCAGAAGATAACCTAAACATATAATTAGTGACGGAATAAATAAGGTATCATAAAATGAAATGGTAATGCTGTTACTGCAAATTAATTTATAAAATATGTTTATATTGATATGCAAATATACTCGTGGCAAACTATTACAGAACAGAAAACATATGCATACATATATACACACATACATACGCCCAGAAAAACACCTGGAAGTATATGGACTACTGCTTAATACTGTATGGTGGGGAATTTTTATTTTTATTTTTACATTTTTTATGTTTATCACTATTTTTTCATTTTTCTATTATGACTATGTATTACTTGTACAATATCAAGGTTTTAAATCCTTTAAAGAAAATTAAATTAGTGGACCAACTAAGACATTTTACTAATTATATATTTAATAGACAATTACTGAGACTAAAAATTATCATATAATTTATTTTAATTTTTATATATTTAGGGTAAAGTAGAATAGAACAATGCAATGTGAATTTAGAAAGCCAAGATCTAATTTTGCTTCTGTCTATTACTAGCCATGTGGTCTTTAAAAGTCATTTAACCTTTCTCTAGCTTAGATTTCTCATGCATTAAATGTGGATGATTGTAAAAATCTAAATAATAAACATCTGGCCATTTAAAAAAAGACATCAAATGTTATTTTTGAATGCCGGTATTAATTTGATCTTGTGGTATTATTCCCTATTAATGGTAATAAAACATCCAGTTACTTGTAATTTAGGAATGAGTTAATTATGATTTAATTATTCCATTTATCAAATAAACCAGGACAGAAACCTCTAACTAGATGAATAATCTCTTAGAAATAAAGAATTACCAGCAATCATACAGGTAAACATTATTCTATCTTCATTCCAAGTCCACTTTCTTTAGTCTATTAACAGACTCTATAGAATTTGCTCTCAGTTCATTTCTCATCCATGGAGAGCAATAGGCTTCTAATTTTAATAGTGAGAAAGTTAAAGGCGTACTAATCTTTCCATGACCTTTTACATCTCTTTCCTCCTCTTTCCAACTTCAGTCAAATTACAAAAGAACTAGAGAAAATAAGGAGTGAAGATCCTTGACTCTAACTCTGCATGTGTCCTACACAGTTAATGTAACCTACTGAGACCACAAAGTTGCCTGCTCTGACTTAATCCTCCAAGTGTTGTGATACCTATGCAATAGATAAAAGTATTTGTGTCCACTTGAAAATTTTCAAAAAACAAAATTACTGGCACTCACTTAAATCAATGCAGTTTATCTCTGGGTAAATTTATATTCCCAAACAGGTCATTCAAAATGTTTCACACCAAACCACCTCAGTCATGTATTATATGCAGATGGACTTTCAAAAGTCACTTAGTTTGAAAATCTCACCTGGCATCTGTCTACCCACCCCTCCCAAGTACTAATACTTTGTGATTACTTTACCATGCTGTCAGCACACACACACACAAAGGAATAAAATAAATGAAGTACCTAGAGCTCTTTGTCAAAAAGATAGACACAAGGTTTATCTTGTAGGTCTGCCTTAGAAAACTTCTGCCTGGAATTCAGATATCTCTGGCAACATGGTATTCATTATTCACATTTGTCTACCATTCCAAGGTTGCCCTGGGGCCCTCCCTGAAAATGCACTTCCCCTGAGAGTTACAAACCCAGTAACTGGCCACACCTTTCATTGGAATTGGTGGGACAAAGAAGCAGGCCTGAGAGTGGAGCTGAGAACTGTACTACATAAATCATTTCAAAGCTGCCAAAATCTGCAGCAAGGCAGACATGCCTATGTACAAGATGAGACTGTCACAATGTCATGTTCACATCTTACCAGACTACTCATCCATATATGATTCCTATATATCCTTATTATCTGTACCATAAATTTACAGTCATGGAGTTTATAAAGTAAAAAATACTAGGGCTTTTCTGTAGTTTTCATTAAATTTTTTGCTTCAGTTTTCCATTTTCTTCACCTTAAGAAGTTGGCAAAGAAATACTTGAAGAAAGATTTCTTGGTTAAAATGTTATAAACTTCTTGCCAAAACTGGTTTGGCTCCATGGATAGAGCGTCGGGCCTGCGGACTGAAGGGTCCCGGGTTCAATTCTGGTCAAAGGCATGTACCTTGGTTGTGGGCACATCCCCAGTAGGGGGTGAGCAAGAGGCAGCTGATTGATGATTCTCTCTCATTGATGTTTCTAACTCTCTGTCCCTCTCTCTTCCTCTCTGTAAAAAACCAATAAAATATATATTTTAAAAAAATAATAAAAAAATAAAATGTTATAAACTTCTCAACATATTACACAGTAAAAGAAGTACCATGAAGTTAAGGCGACCTCAGTAACATTCCATCAAGGTTATTAAGGAACCATGCTGGGTCAATGGTACCAATGCTTCGACTAAAACAAGATGACTAGGCATGACCAGTTCAATGGGTCAGAACACAGCTGTCTTTTTCCAGCAGCTCTAAGGCCTTGGAGCTTATCGCTCAGTGCCAGAGGATCTTTCAAATAAGAATTTGCCTTTTGTGCTGCCATCCATGGTGAGAGGAAAAAGAGCCCCCAGAGAGAAATAAAGGAGTGCTCCCAACATTGTTACTTCTAACACCATAGACAAATCTAGTCCTTTGCAGCTGGGTTGTACAAGATGGCTATTGGAGAGGAGGACTGTGGAAATGGAAGAGACTTTCTCACTGATGGACTGAAAAATGTGACTAAATGGCATACAAATGGAGACTACCCTTAGTGCTGTCTGTACCCCTTTCCCTTCTTGGCATGTTTATGCAAAGTATTGCTCAAAAGGTCTTAGTCAGGAGGTACAGTCCAGTCCGCCCACTATCACATTACGGCACCTATTATAGAACCCTCTTACAGTCTCCTCCAGACAACAGAAGTAAAGCCACCCAAAAGGCCTCTCATCTGACCTCAACAGAGATCACCGAGAATAACTCTGATGATATGTCACTTTATTTGAAAGTGAACTAGGTAAATGGCAGGATTTGTTGATTGGGATTCTATCCTTCCATCTGATGTCAGACTGGGCTTACAGAAGACACTCATTAAAATCATATGAAGCTTCCCTGGTTGGTTGAGTTGTCCCATGTACCAAAAGGTCATGCCCAGGTTTCAGGTTCAGTCCCCTGTCCAGCTATGCACAGGAAGCAACTGATCAATATTTCTCTTTCACATCAATGTGTTCTCTCTCTCTCCCCCCCCCCCTCTCTCTCTCTCTCTCTCTCTCTATATATATATATATATAGATATATATATATATATATATATATATCCTCCCCTCCCTCCTCTCTTTTTCTTCCTCTCCCATCATCTCTCTCTAAAAAAATCAATACAAAATGTTTTTTAAATTATTATGAAGCTAAATAGGAAGTCTAGCAAGTCAAAATTCACAAACTTGAGGAAGGACAGATATGACTCATTTTCTGCAGACCTTTAACTTAGTTTGGTGTTATTTTCTGAGTCTTCAATCATGAAAAAAATTGCTTAAATCCTACTCATTCAACTGTAAATATGTACTTGCTGTATAAATTATACAATTAGGACTAGCCAGAACCATTTGCCAAGAATGCCAAAATGCTTCTAAGGCATTAGTATTTACAGCCTATGACAATCATCCCACAGAGCCCACAACATGATGCTCTCCTCCATCTCTTCTCTCTCCTCGCTTTATTCTCCTTGTGCCTAAATCTTACCCTACCAATCTAGGAAACTTCATTAGTTCCACTGACTTGAATTTCACAATATAAAAGACTGCCACCCTACTAATCAAAATTATTTCAATGAAGATAATTATAGAAATCCTGGAACAAGACTGAAGCTCATAACAGATTATGTTAACAAGTGTAAAATTTTACATAAGATAAGCACTTACACATTGAGCTTACCATTGATATTAGCCAATGAAAGAATATTATCTTGATGATCAAGGAGGCGCTTAACTTCAAGAATATTCCATTCTAGTGATCCTTCTATGGGCGCTACCAACCTGAAAATTACTACGTGAAAAAACAGGTATAATTTTATTACAATAATCAAAGATGAAATTATACTTCTGCTCAAAGTACCAGTATTTCATTAAGTTAGAAATATCTAATAGTGAAAATATTGAAAACCTATCTCCAAAGGGAACCTTATTCATACCACTTTAAAATATTTCTTCCAAATGCTTGAGATGTTTGAAATGATCTTCTAAAATCCTAAGTGAGTGTGTGCTCATAATTCTGTTCCTTTATTAAAACTCTTCTAATTTCACCACCAACCATGAAGCCCCATCCTTTCCAGGCCTCCAGTGCAGTCGGGCTATTCGGCCTCACTCTCTACCTAGCTATTGACTGGCCCACATCCGTGATTCATCTCTACCATCAGCTTTCTGTACTAATGTTCCCAGGCCAGTAAGTATTGCTACAAAACAATTTATGTTTAACTTAAACTCAGAGAACACTTCAGCAGTTGCTTTCATATTTTTAAAGTTTTCTTGATACCTAGGCATATACTATCCTATATAACAAAAGCATAATATCCAAACGGCAGAACCACCAGTCACTATGATGCACACTGATCACCAGGGACCAGACGCTCAACACAGGAGCTGCCCCCTGGTGGTCAGCGCTCCCAAAGGGGGAGCGCAGTTCAGCCAGAAACCGGGCTCACAGCTGGCAAGTGCAGTGGTAGGAGCCACTCCCGTCTCCGCTGCAGGTGGGCAGGAAGGAGCGATGGGTCCTGAACTGCGAGGGGGATGTCTAACTGCTGGCCATCCCCCGAGGAGTCCCAGACTACGAGAGGGTGCAGGCTGGGCTGAGGTGCACAAATCTTGTGCACCAGGCCTCTAGTTAAATTGTAAACTCTGAGGATAATATGCCTTATAATTTTTGTGTGCCATACAGTTCTTCTGACTACAGATTTTCAATAGGTTACTTTGTTATCTGACTTTAACAAATAGTTTTATTTAAACTAATATGAGTCCTAACTTTAATCAATACAGCAAACCCCAAATCAAATAAACTAGAGTGATTCAATCAACAAGCATTTATTAAATATCTACTATGTTCCAGGAAATTAGCTTTCTAATGTGAATAAGGCCCTGAACCACTCGTAGTCTACAGTGGTAAGGAGACCTAAAAACAAGCTTATAATAGATGTATTAAATGCCATAATACACCACTCTACCTAGTGTTGTGGATGCTCACAGATTAAGATGGCTCATTTCTTAGAAGTGGGAATGTCTCAGAGAACATATCCTTTCCAAGTGGTGGATAAGATAAACTATTAATCTCTCTTCTTTCTCACATTCCTCCCTGGAAAATAGTCAGTGCCACATTCCATTCTATCTCTGGATAATTTTTACCAGCTACAAATCTCTAGCAATGTTATTTAATCCTGGCAGCCATTTACATTCAAACTGTGGCTGTTGAAATAAAAAGGTATTTTAGTCAACATGAAGGGAATTTTCCTCATAACTATCAGGGTTGTATGAAAATTCTTTTGCACTTGAAATCCTACCAAATGATCTTGATATTGAGATTGTGGAATAAAAAGCAATATATTGTCTATTCAAACTACCATATCATAACCTGAAATACTGACAAGAAGTAAAATATAAAGTAGATTTCTACAAAGAACTACGAAGTACAAAGATAACATGAAACTGTTTAATGAGCATAAATATGGCCTCTATAGACAAGTAATAAATTCAAGAAAATAAAACAAATCAGAGAGCAAAGAGAAGCAATAATAAATTCTAAAAAATGAGTTAGGAAAAATATCCTAGACTTCTGAGCCAGGATGAGGTCTCAGCGCTAATAGCCTGGCTTAGCCAGTAAAGCTTCAAAGTCACTGCTGCTGGTGCACTATATATTTATTTTGTGACAAAATTAAGTAAAATGTAGAACTTCATTTTAAAGGATATTACGTATTTTTATAAATTACTTTCTGAATAAAATCAACTTTCATTTCCTTTTTTTAGATGATACTCTAACTTCAGTTGAAGCATTAATGTTGCTTTTAGTAGTGTTTTGATGAATTTACTAATTCATCCATCCACTCAATAAAATTTTCCTATCTGCTAACAAAAAATGAATAAGTAAGTTCCAGTCTCCAAGTAGCTCACATTCTGAAAAGGAGAGCAAGGAGGGAACAAAAAGCAAACAGAAGTCTTTTTTTAAAATAGCAAATGATAGGCGTGAGCTATGACAACACGGTGGGAAGACTTCCGGGAGGGGAGGTTGTATTAGGTAAGCAAGCCTTCTTCCTCAAAAGGTACTGGAGCTGTGCTCCTCAAAAGTAGGAATTAGCCGGATCAAATAGGACAATGAGTTAGGAGGATAAATCTGATACAGAGTGACAGCAGAAATAAAGGCATAAAGGTGAGAAATACTTTAGATGGGGGAATCCCAGGCAATTCAGAACTGACAAGCCAGCGACAGAGGAGTAGAAGAGCACTGGTGGGCCTGATGGGATATGTTGAAAAGTTTGCACTTTATCCTGCAGGGTAGTGATGAACTTATATTAGTCCTCTAGGGCAGCAGTCGCCAACCAGTGGACCTCAGATCACTGGTGGTCTGTGAAGTCTGAAAGGTTGGCGACTGCTGGTTTAAGGAAAGGAGCAGCGGTCGCCAACTGGTGGTATGTGAGGTCTAAAAGATTGGTGAACGCTGCTCTAGGGCAAAGATTTTATTCATCTAGGGCAAAAATAAGAAAAAATAAGGGCCACATGAAAGTAAATATATTCAATTTAAAGTCCTATTTCTTCTTTCTGAGATCATGTTCTTCATACTTTGTTAAAAAGTAATTTTTACAAAATAAAGATGGTAAATGATAGCTTGTTTTTTGTTCTTATTAGTTTTACTAAGCAAAATAAAAATCTGGCAACTCTATGTTGAGCTCCAAAAATCTAAGCTTTTGTACTAGTCAGAAATTTGAGTCTAGAAATGATTGCTTTAGGAAGCCACTGAAGACTTTAAGCAGGAGAGTGGTCTGCATTTTAGCTAGATCCCTTTAACATCTACTGAAGAAAAAAAATTATATATATATATATATATATATATATATATATGAACAGAAAGCATTTGACAAGCACTAAAGTAGAGGAAAAAAGGTAAGTAGGAGACTTAATGCAACATTCTTAGGTAAGAAAGGTGATGAGAGCCTGAGTAGAGCAACACAAGTGAGATGTGAACCTGTTAGAAATGCAAAGCTCAGACTCCAGTCTAGACTTATCCTATATAATAAAAGGCTAATATGCAAATTGACCAAATGGGGGAACGGCCAGTCACTATGAAGTGCACTGACTACATAGGGGCAGGTGCTCAACGCAGGAGCTGCCCCCTGGTGGTCAGTGTGCTCCCACAGAGAGAGCGCTGCTCTGCCAGAAGCCAGGCTCACGCGTGACAGAGCGCAGCAGTTGTGGCGGCAGTCACACATCCCCTGAGGGCTCCCAGACTGCAAGAAGGCACAGGCTCAACAGAGGGACACCCCTTCCAGTGCACAATTTTCGTGCACCAGCCCTCTAGTTGAATTAGAAACTCTGGGAGGTAAAGCCCAGTAATTTGTGTTTGTAACAAGCCCGTCAGGTCATTCTAATGCACACTCAAGTTTGAGAACCAGTGAGTTCATGTCTCATTGGGTTTTGCAAACATGCCAACTGATAGTTACAGCAAACTTCAAGGCTGGTTTCTGGAAAAAGTAGTACAAGCAATACCGAATGCCCTCTGGGCAAGAAAGCAGCAGCTTCTAAGAAGCATGTTTACTCTATGAATCTGGCACCCAAATTCCATTCACAGAGCAGTGAGTACAAAAGGCTTTCTTCACTCTAGGCTCCCTGACAGTAAATGGGTTAGTTAATAGTCAAAAGCTAAGAAAGTGGCCTTCAGGTGTTCATACTTAATTAATACATTTATAAAAGGTCTCTGCTACCTACCCCTTCCTCTGCTATTTCACTACTCTCAGAGAAGTGGCATAAACTCCCCCAAAGATAATGGGCCCCATCCTGGCTTCCTGAGGCAATAACTCCACAGTTCCCACCTTAGTGAATTCCCCAAATAATCCTCCTTTGACCTTCCCAACTCAAGTTTTTAGTTGCCAAAGTGTTGACAGTTGTTTCATGTGGTTAATGTTTGTCAAATAAGTGTACTAGTATGTGTACAGATCAGCAACAGAGAAGAATATGTGATCTAAGGCCTTCTCTGGCATACGAGGAGTGATGTTAGCTGCTACACTTGGCTATGTTAGAACATGGGTAGGACAAAAACTGACTTAATTTCCTGAAAATATCAGCATATCACTTCAACAATCCCAGGAGGCCAAGACTGGGGCAGAGGCAGGTGTTCCTTAAATGAGATATTAACTAGTCTTTCCAAAATGTGTATACAAGTTCTAGTTTAAAACTAAAAAAAAAAAAAAAGAAAAAAAAAAAGGAGTCATACTCACTCAGTTCTTTGCCAACTGCTGCCACAACACAGTTCTTAGGTATTTCGATCAAAGCACTGATCCCTTCAAAAATATAAAACAAAGGTGAAATTGTTTTCTTCGTGGTTACATAAAAAACAAAATCATTCTCAGTTTTATGTCAGTCATTTACAATAAAGGGAGTGGTCACAATAAAGCACACACCATTTTCTATATCACACTTGCTTGGTTGTACACAGAAAATGATTTTGTGAAAAATGGGTGAGGGCTTTGGAAGACTACTGATCTAATAAGGGGAGGATATACTCTGAACATTATAGTAAACTTATTTATTAATACCAGGGATCCCTTAAAATAATCACCCTCACCATTTACAATATATTTAGCTCAAAGGAAATATAAAATTGGCATTTTTCTTAATTTAAATTTAAGAATCCTGAGTGGGTTCCCTGATAGTAAATGAGTTAGCCAACAGTCAATGGCTAAGAAAGGGGCTTTTAAATAACATGTTTTTAATTAATTTAATATTTATAAAATTGAATTAATCAGATTCAACATTCCACCACGCCCACCAGCCAATTAGTAGTGAGTATGCAAATTAACCCAACAAATACGGCAGGTTAATTTGCATACACAGGAGTCAGGCAGCTGGGGGCCAAGCAGGACACTTGCATCATTGCCATGGCGAAGATGCAGGTGTTCTGCACCACCCCAGCCGCACTGAGCCTCGGTGCAGTGTGGGTAAAAAGAAAGGCGGATCCAGGCCAGAGCGAAGGTGGTGCCGGCAGCCAGGGGAAGGAAGGCCCATTCTTGCACAAATCTTCGTGCACTGGGCCTCTAGTTTTATATTATCTATGTAGAAACAAGCTATTTTCAATTATGAACTATATATTCAATTCACAGAGCTTCTACTACCTTTAAGATGTCAATAATTAATAACATTTTTTATAGCATGTCCATAGGTTCATTCAATTACTTTTAGAACAGAAATAGTTAATAGTTTATCACATAACTTCAAGGTTATTGTCATTTAAATTTACTCATATATACTTAAATGTTTTTACTCTGAATAAATTTTAATTTTATTCTTTACAATCCTTGTTATCTATAGAAGTCAAAATTGATTTTTTTTTTCTGTTAAAACAAAAAATGTCTGTAAACAGAATTCTGAGAAATAGAACTTTGTTAATAAATTTACTCATGAATAAACTTTTTATTAAAACCAAATGTAAAATGAGGTCATCCTTAGAAATCTATTGAAAGACCAGTGATCAAAAAAAATTTTTTTTAAAGTGCTATTGTAAAGCCACAAAAGTGCTTTCAGGTATCAACATGTTTAGAGTTTGCTGATCATGTATTAAAAGTTTTTCTTACTTAACCACTTTGAGAAATTCTGTTAAAAGGGATGAGAAAGCCAAAAGGAGGGGAATCTTCTCCTTCCAATTTGGGATGAAAATATATTTTACGCAACCCTTAATCAACCTGGAGAATATGGCCACATGTTATATTCAGAACTGCAAAGAAAAGTACTGCCTCCATACCCCTGTGTTCATGGAAAGTCTCTTTGAAGATTCACTGTGTCTTTTAGAGTCTGTCACTCATGGTTCACAGTTACCTTAATTTGCGTTTTACCTGTATCAGAAAGGTGACTAGTCTTACATAGGAGATCTAATTTTCGGTTCCACACACATAGGTCATTCCCACCAGACAGCCAAACATCTAGTCTCTGAAGAAATGTTAAACACTGCAAAATTTGAGAAATATATGTAAGTTGAGAAGTTCATGCATTCATTGGAGGTTTTAAAATATGTCCCAAAATCTTTGATAACCTTTCCTTCAAGCAAAGGTGAAGCTTAATTACCTCCCCTGGAACGTGGGCTCTACTAAGTGACTAGCTTCTAAGGAACAGAATGTGGCAGAAAGAATAGTGTGTGACTTACAAAGACATTAGACACATGGTGGTTTCCTCCTTGCTCTTAGATCTCTCTCTAGGACAAACATACACAAGCAGCCACGTGGAGAAAGACCCCCTGGCATGAAAGTGAAGCCTCTGTACAACCACCACCACTTCCCAAATATGTGAGTCCCATAGGAGCCTCCAAATCCAGTCAAGCCTTCAGATGACAACACCCTGAGTCAGAACTATCCAGCTAAGCTGCTCTCTTTTACTGACCACAAACACTGTGAGATATTTGTTTTTTTAAGAAACTAAGTTTTGAGGTAATTTTTTATTTAATAACAGACATCTAATACACAAGGCTTAAAATAAGCTGCTTTTTAAAATAAAACTGAAAATATGGCCTTAGTCTTTATGTGTCTTCAAATTAATATCATAAATACTGAAAATATTTTAAGGTCTGTAGAAGTCCTTTATCTTTAACTAGAGGCCTGGTGCATAAAAATTCATGCACTGGAGGGGGGCCATTCCTCAGCCTGTCCTATCCCTCTCACAGTCTGGGAGTCCTGAGGGGCAGGAGGCGACCCAGCAATCAGGAGAAGGGTATACCCCATCACACCTCTGCTGCTGCCACTGCTGTCAATGCAAGCCTCAGCCAGTCCTGGTTACCTGAGCCTCAATCAGCCTGGGTGGCTGAGCAGCTGCCATCTGAGGTTTGCCTGCACCTCAGGCTGACCCTGGGTAGCTGGGGGGTTAAAGGGGCTGGGGGATTCCAGAGGCAGGCGCACAGGGCTGGCCAGGCCTTGCCACACATCTGCAGCCCCAACAGGGCTGAGGGGACTGGGTTGGGTGCCACCATCTTGTGGCTGTGGGTGCCGCCATCTTTGAGGTTGGGGCAGTCAATTCACATATTCCCTCATTGGCTGTGGGCACCACCATCTTTGAGGGCATGGCAGTCAATTAGCATATTCCCTCCTTATTGGCTGTGGACATGGCCATCTTTACGATGATGTGAGGGTCAATTAGCATATTCCCTCTTTATTAGATAGGATGATACTTTAAAGTCCACACTTTTAATAGCACTTTCCTCACCCACTGACTCAAGTGAGCACAAGGGCTAGAACAAGTGAGAAGAATAAAAACAAAAAGGACAAGGTTCTGCCTGACATAGGCTGGGATTACTTTTAAGACTGCTGGAATAGCCTAAACCAGTTTGAATCAGTGGATAAATGTCAGCCTGCGGACTGAAAGGTCCAAGATTCAATTTTGGTCAAGGGCATGTACCTTGGTTGTGGGCACATCCCCCGTGGGGGGTGTGCAGGAGGCAGCTGATCAATGTTTCTCTCTCATTGATGTTTCTAGCTCTCTATCCCTCTCTCTTCCTCTCCGTAAAAAATAAATCAAATAAAAAATAAAAATAAAAAACTGCTGGAATAATAAAGGTTGAAAAAAACCAACACAGTTTATATTTCAAGAGGTCCTACCCTACTTCTATATGAATTTTAGGATCAGCTTGTCAAATTTTTGTATCAGTCAGTACTTAAATGGCCTCTTCAAAGACAGTACATTGTTAAATTGATTACAGCATACAGTAAATGGCCCTTTCTTCCCCATAAACTTTACTAAATTGATAACTAGAAGAGAGAGCGAGCCAGCATGAGATGGCTACCAAGATACTGCCTTTCAGGGAAAAAGTGATACACAAGACAACTGGCAGACAGCAATTCTTTTTCATTTTTTTGATTTTTTGTTTGTTTTCTTAAGTGTTGGTTCCAATTTAGAGATCAGTTATCCTTAAAGAAAACATTATCTCATTTTACTAGCATCTTTCTCCAAACTTGCCCACATTATTGAAAGACACATTTCTGAGAACATTTAAGGTAATTTCTTCTATAGGAATCAAAGAACCAAGTGTTATCCAAGTCTGTATCTCCAACATTAGCAGAATTCCTCTCATGTAATAAGCCCCAATTAATAACTGTAAAATGAATGAACTTAATAATAGCAACCAATTAGCCCCATAAAATTTTGTTTTGGAACTAAGCAACTAACATCTTTTTCCTTAGGACTAATTTATCCTACTAATTATTTCTTTATTGTTGACACAATTACAGAAGTCCCCCTTTCCTTGCCCTTTGCTTCCCTCCACTCAGGCCCACCCTGCCATTAGTCATCACCACATCACTGTCTGTGTCCCTGGGCTGTACATATATGCATATATGTTCTTTAGTTAATCTCTTCCAGTCTCCCACCCATCCACTTCCCTTCTGAGATCTGTCAGTCTGTTGTCTGTTCTATGTATCCATACCTCTGGTCCTATCTTATTTGTCAGTTTAATTTTTCATTAGATTCCACATATAAGTGAGATTATGTGATACTTGTCTTTCTCTGACTTATTTCAATTAGTGTAATAAGCTCCCAGGCCCATCCATGCTGTCACAAAGGGTAAGAGTTCCTTCTTTTTTTACAGCTGCATAGTATTCCATTGTGTAAATGGACATCCTTTTTATCTACTCTCCTACTGATGGGCACCTGAGCTGTTTCCAGATCTTGGCTATTATAAACATATCTTATCTTTATGACTTTATAGAAGCCAGAGTGTGAGGGACAAATTATTCCGTGTTTTTATTTCAATGTAATGAAGAAACATACTAACTACTGCTATAGAGTCATTCTGCAAGGACTGCCTCTTTTTACAATTTCGCACTTATCTTGCTATAGAGATTCATCGCTTGCTCTAACTTCAAATTCAAACATTCTAGCATTGAAAATATATACTTCTAAAAATCTAATCTTAGAAGAATAAAATAACTATGTGTGGAAGAAATAATTTTTTAAAATATATTTTTTAATAGATTTCAGAGAGGAAGAGAGAAACATCAATGATGAGAATCATTAATTGGCTGCCTCCTACACGTCCCCTACTGGGAGGGGGAAAAAGGGGTGAGGGGACCAGGGCATGTGCCCTTGGCAGGAATCGAACCTGGGAACCTTTAGTCTGCAGGTTGACTAAAAGTACTTTATAAGAACGTTTTCTGTAATGTGAATTATTACAAGCTCTATCCACTGAGCCAAACCGGCTAGGGTAGGAAGAAATAATTATTTAACCCACAAAAGTAATTTCATCAAACTTAACAGTTTTTTCTCAGACAAAAAAATTATTACCATAAAATATTGACTTATAATCTTACCTTTACAGTAGACTGAAAGCATGACACTTTTTGAACTTGCCTGCCAGTATCACAATTCCATACCTAAATTTATGTTAAGAAATAATTTCTAAACATTTCAAATCTTATAACTTTTCCAATAATTAAGTTACAAATGTCACACATTTAGGTATAAAATAAGGCATAAAATATTTAATGTTTGCACTACTACAAAAATTAATTAATATAGTGAGTCATCAACTTAGTACAGTAAGCTTACAAGCTACAATAATTTTCAGGTAAATTTTACTGTCAAACTATTTGAAAATGCCAACAGAAAGAATGGTCTGAAAACTGAATCTTTATAGACATTAAATATTGCAACTGTTTAAATTTTAAAGTTTATTCTTCAAAATAGTCCACCATATAGACTACTTTTATAATTATACTGTTATATAATTATCAGTTAGTTATATAACAGTAGATAATTAACTACTGTTATCCTGATTAAAAAAAGATAGTAACAGTGTGTTCCTATTACCTATATATATAAATAATTAGAGGACCTCTCATAAAATGTCCAAAGTTAGTTTGACCTTAAGGAGTATGACAATTTTCAAATTTTTCACACCATTTCCTATAGTAAGATACACATTTTACATCATATCTGAAAACACATTCACATAATATATAAAATATGTATAAATATGTATGTACATATAAACTTTTAAGACTATCACTTGACAAATTTTTTTTAAATCTACACTTAGCATTTAGTTAATAAAATTTTAGTTAATAGTGAAGGCCCAAGCTGAGTTAATTTAGAATTCGCCTGAGTAAAAGAACTGCAAGCAAAGCACCCTGGAATTATTTTCAACAAAATCATTCAGCAAAGAAAATCAGTCTATACCATCATTTATAGGTACAGTTTATACTGATACTGCCCCAGCTACTCATCTCTATACTGTACTGTAATAATTGCCTCTAAGTAGTACTTTAGGAATCGTCTAATAAAAAAGCATTTTAAATTCTATTTTTGCAGAGGTTATACTGATACTGAAAACAAATTTAAAAAGAGCTTTAATCAATAAAATATTTGCCTCAATAGAGCAATAGCAACAAAGCTACCCTGACCTAAAAATGAGTGAATTTTATGCCCTTGTTTTCTTAATACTGTAATCCCCTCACAATTTATCACCATTTAAATATTTTCTTAAAATGTTTTCATCTATTGGCAACTTGTCTAGAAATCACTTTTGCTGAGAAGCTTGTTTAAGTGTCCTAAAGTATATAGATGGTTTAGAGAAGCCTGAGGAGCACGGACTCCTTTGGGCTTACTTTGAAACTTGTTTCACTAATGCCTGAAGCTAGTTAAACAGAATTTTCAATGAGCATAGGCTTTTTAAAGGTAATCTATGGTAACTTAAAAAAAAAAAAGGTCATGAGAGATTACAGGATTACAGTTATCCATAGCATTTGGCTATGGCCTTCACAAATCCAAATTTCTTATAAAAAGTTTAAGGGGCTAAATTTGTTTAAGGAAAGTATTTTTTTAAATATATTTTTATTGATTTCAGAGAGGAAGGGAGAAGGAGGAAGAGAGAAAGAGAGAAACATCAATGAGATCAATGATGAGAATCATTGATCGGCTGATCCTGCATGACCCCTATTGGGGATTGAGCCTAAAACCTGGGCGTGTGCCTTGACAAGGAATCGAACCTTGACCTCCTGGTTCATTGGTCACTGCTCAACCACTGAGAAACACTGGCCTAAGGAAAATATTTTAAAAGGCAGTATTATTATATAGTGATTCAGAACTCGGCTCTACAGTCAGACTGCTTATGTTCTACCCTATGCTGGCCGCATGACCTTGGACAAGTTACTTAACCTCTCTTTGCCTCTAATATCTGTAAATGAGAACAAAAATACTTATTGTAAAAATCAAATAGATTTATATAATACAAAACAATGTGTGGCACATGTAAGCACTTTATAAAATGCCATTACATTTTAAAATTTTACCTAAAAGGGGGAAAGAAAGGGAAGATACTTTTTAAATTTTATTTTTAAATACTAAATACTAATATTAAACACTAAGCTAATGGCAATTCACTTTTCTGTCAGACTGGGTTCTCAAAAGGTTCTTATGGATTGGGGCCATTAACTTTAATTTGCTGTACAATGAGCAGAAAACAAACAAACAAAAAAGCCAAAGTAAATTCTTTCCCAGTCCAACCGATCTTTATTTCCCTAAATTTAAAAGCAAACTGAGAATATTAAGTATTTTTAAGCTCATTTTCTCCATTTCATCTATTTTATATAATAGTAACTCTAGAAAGAACAGTTTTAGTTCATGGGGTTTCTAGCAATAATATACCTTAATCTGTTATTTCAGTCTAATACTTTTCAGATGCCTAATGCTTTTAAGAAGTGTTTTATGAAAGCTAGAACAAAATCATTTTTGCTAAAACAGGAATGTGCAAACAGGCCCCAAAAGCCTAAAGACTAATAATGTATATACTGGTCCCTTGCATCACTATAGCTACTGCACTCTCTTCCAAACTAAAGGATACAATAACTGTTCTATCAGCAGAGGCTGTCAAGATGAGCTGATTTTTTTCTTCACATGCTTCCAAGGAAGGAAATGCAATAATAGCTGTTATCTTTTGAGTGTGTCCATTGAGTTCCAAAAGTTTTTCTCCTGTCTGAAATACCAATGAAATGTTAACAGGTTCATTATTTCACAAGTTACACAACTTTAACAACACTAAGAAGAATCACTATGCAGAAAATGCATACATTCTATTTGAAATTACTTAGCCATAAACAATTTGAAGTATTTTCTGATAGATAATATAAATTTTAGCATATTTCATATAAAATTTAAAGAATCTAATTGGATAAATTAAGCATAAAAATTTCAGTAACTTAATCTGTAGGAAAAAAATAGGAAGTCCTCTTTATCCAAGTATTTGTTATTTAAGTATCCAGAGTTATAAAGCTGTGCAAGAAAAAAAAAAAAGTCAGCTCCTTACCAAGTATTTGTTATTTGTCTTCAGTTATACAGTTGTGGGAGGGGAAAAAAGTCAGCAACAAATATATCTATATATCCAATAATGTATCAACAAATATATCTATCTCCAATAATGTACTCATAAAGTTAGCCTCCACTCCACCTCTATTTAATGGCAACAGCTATTCCCACCCATCAGACTCTCATGGACTTCCCAAATAGTAAACATACTATAAAACACAATGTAAATATGACAAATTGAAAATCTTTCCAAGGTTACAAGATTTCATGAATGTAGGAACATGTTAAAGAACTCCTTTAACCACAGGCAAAGCCATTGAAAAATGAGGATCTGACAGATCAGACCATGAGAGAAGACAGATACTTCAAAAGAGAATAATCTGAGTATCAAAGGGTCAGGAAGAGAGATATCAGAGAAATTTGGTCAAGTCTTAAGTATTTTTTTAATAAGCCCTTTATTATATTGCTCTTAAGTTCAAACATGAGAAGCATGTTACATCATGTAATCATAATTTTTGAAAGAAAAATTGCCACAAAAATCACCACCTGATTCATTTTCAGAGTCATTACATAATTTCTGGTAAGTTTTGTTTGGTAAGATTAAACTTTCATTTTCACATCTTGGTATTTGTTTCTCAGGAAAAAAATCTTTATTAAAAAAGTTTCTATTATGAAATATTGGCTCCCAACTTAAATGAAATCTTCCCAAGTATGCCTTTTCAAGTATTAATTAGTCTGTCTACTAATATGCAGGTATATTAATGTTTATGAATGTATACTCAACTATACAGTCATATCTTTATTACACAATCCAACAAAATCAATACACACCTGGGCATTCCACACAACTACAAGTCCATCATCACCAGCAGATGCAAATCTGGTTAGAGAAAACAAGTTAAAAAATAAATCATTGGTGACATTTAAGTGCTAAGATTACTAAGAACTATCAAATCTTATTACTGATATTCTGATTTACTAATATTAATGCAGATTAAGTTATTTAAGCTAATTTAGCAAATATTGACGAATACCGGCTAGGATCTGTGCCAGGTACTGAGGGATCATTTACAGTGTTACAATGAATAAACTGGAATGAATGTAAGAATGAGGGAGATCTGTAAAGAAACTTTAAAGTCTTTCCTTGCTTTAAAATTATTTGTAAACCCTGACTTGTGACAGAAAGCCAAGCTGAGGAACAGCTTCACTGAGAAGAAGTGATATTCCAGAAGTGGAAAAATAAACCATGTGCTTAGATAAGCTAATTATTTCTATTCTTTTCTCTGTAAAAGTACTCTAACTACTTTTTAAAGCCAACATCATATTTTATATTTGCCCATAACACTAGGACACAACAATTATTTTGTTCCTGAATTTTTATCCCTATAGAAGATTCCTAAAATTTCACTATTTCAGTCAAGTAACATTTTCTTTAACACCCAAAACTGGGCTTCAAGTTCAAATTTCTCAGATTCAGTTTCAAAGTCTCATATGCACCTGTTGTCTTCACTGGCTCAGACAAATCCTATAATTAGTACCCACTTCAAAACCATTTGGTTACATCTCCTACTATAGGAGCTAAAAGATTATCCAGTAGATAGGAAATCGGCCAAATACAGTCTGACAGTCTGTTAATAGCATTTGAATATAGAACTACGTATTTTTTAATTGGAAAGGGACTAAGGGTCTGGGTTCGATTCCAGCCAAGGGCACATGCCCAGGTTGCAGGCTTGATCCACAGTAGGGGGCATGCAGGAAGCAGCCAATCCATGATTCTCTCTCATCATTAATGTTTCTTTCTCTCCCTCTCCCTTCCTCTCTGAAATCAATAGAAATTTTTAAAAACTTTATAAAACTATTCATTCCTGCTCCCTTTCTCTCCCCTTTCATTGATATTTTTAACAAACTTTTTGCATGCTTAACTCTATTTTATTGCCTGCTTCCTAGGGAAATCCATCTTGACTATTGATTTATTTTATCTGAATGTTTGTGGAAAGTTATCCCTAGCTTAAAAATATTTTCTTAAAGACGTAGTGTATTATTTGTTCAGTGAATTATCAAACCATACTGAGTTTGTTTAGTTTCTTGTGAATATAAAGCTTCACCAGCCATTCTAGGAGCACATTTTTTTGTTCTCCAGTCTGACATTTCTTGGGTCACCTAATTCATTTCCAGTCATGATCACCATCCTATATAACCTTGTCTATTATATTTCCTGGAGTAGCAAGGAATGGTCAAATGAGCAACAGAAAAAACTACTCTTAAAATGTGTTACAAACTCAGTTTAGTTTAATGTGTCAAATAAGCTAGAGTATTATATATAATTTTAGCACTAGAGTATTACATACAATTTTAACACAGCCCACTTTTTAGAAGACTCTTGCTGAGTCTTAGCCTTCTTTAGTGATCTCCCAATCAATATGACCCTCACTTCATGTTCAAAAAATACTGAAGAAGAAAAGAAAAGGCAGCTGTCTGTTATGTTATACAGGATTTATTTGGTATCTTCAAAAACCAATCTGAGAAAATTTTCCACTCACTGATTTTAGCTGAGCCACCAAGAAAACAAGAAAATCCTTCTGCAAAATTCTCAATAAACTGACATTATCTAAATACCTGAAGCGTGAAACCTGGATTACAACAGCTGACCAAAAAACTAGAATGCTATGTCTACAAAAACTAAGTAAAAACATAAAAAGTGTAACAATATAATGTTTATTTAAGGTATTTTGGTAATTTGACAATGCATAAATAATGTACATATGCAATGATGAAGATAATTCTAAATGAAACTGTTAAAGAGTGAAAATATTAAGCTCTTAATTCTATTTGTAATAAATTTAATAGTTTGTAGGTTTTTTAAGTTTTCTTATTAATAATGACTTTCAGTTATTTTTTGCATACACGATGAAATTAAATTTTTAAAAATAATACACAGATTGAAAATTCCAAAGGCCTGTGACTGACTGAAAAACTTCAGATTTAATTCCATGGAAATTTTGACATAGTAATGACTTGAGTACCAAGAATTAAATATGATTCATGTAGTAATCTCTTCTTTATTGCAAAAAAAACAAAAAGTAGGGTGTATTCTTCCCCCATCCCCCCATTTGTTGTAGACATTTAGATTCACTCTGTTTGATAGCAAAAATGACCACAAAGTATTCTCCTTCCTAATGTCATCATTTGCATAAAGCAGTAGTTGCTTCAAGAGGTAGAGTTTATTTATCCACTTACTGAATTTGTGCCAGCTCCTGACTTGCTTTAGCCAATGAAACAACAGCAAATAGTATACAGAGATTTGAAAAGTTTTACATCGGGGCTTGCCATTTTGCTGGTATTAGAACTCCCTAATCACTATTGAACAAGCGTTTGAGCAATCAAATGGAGAGAGACCCAGTCATTGTGAACTGCCAGCTCCAGCCAATCTACCTGTTAACCACAGATGCATAAGTAAACCTAACCAAGGTAAGCCAACCATGATGCAGATGGGGGAAAAACACACAAAACAACTTACCCAGTGAGCCTAACCCAAATTGCCACCCTGCAAAATAGTGAACTAAATATATAATGGTTGTTTTAAACCACTAAAGTTTGGGGTGATTTTTGACAGAGCAATAAACAGATAACTGGTGTAGTTGTCTATAGCTTTTTACTGTTTCTAGAACTTTACTGTATCATACATGAGAACCCCTGTGAGGAAAATGTAATCAGATATCAGCCTTTGGACAGGGATCATTATTCTATAAGAGGGCCTTTTCTGGAGTCGTCTTCTAACTAGGTAATCAGAATGGCTAAGAGGACATGTCTGAGGGCAGATAGCAATGAACATGGAATCTTAACAGTTAATCTATATAAAAAGTTAAAGACTACATCCTGAAAGTAAACTACATATTTTTTACTTAACTTTTTTAGGCAAAATGATGTGAGGATTCCTTAAGGTTCAAATATTATATTAGTGATTATGGCCTGAGAAATTATTCGAGCATTTTTTAACCTACCTACGAATTTCCTATGGTAAAATATGGTACAAGAAAACTTGAACTGCTCAATATCCTATCTTCCCAGAAATGTTTATTTTCAAAGATATGACTAAATAAAGTACAGTATCTCTTCGTACTCACCAACAACAAACATTACCAAAAACGCTGAAAATTATTTTACTATGGTTAACATATTATAATTTGTTTGGCTTATATCACAACAGAAAAATAAAGTTGATAGACTAATAATATATATGAGATGAATCTTCAAGCAAAAGTTGAGGAGGAGTATCTTGTCTATATATATAAAAGCCTAAGTGACTGTTCAATCTTTTAACCAGTAGCTATGATGCGCACTGACCACCAGGGGGCATATGCTCTGAACAGTAGGTAAGTTTGCTGCTGGGGTCCAGCTAATCAGGACTGGGCCAGATGGGCCAGATGTGCCCTGGAGCACTCCCACAGTCCCTCCCCGGCCCTGACCATGCATGGTGGGGTCCTGGATTGTGAGAGTCCAAGGGACCCCCACCAGTGCATGAATCCATGTACCAGGCCTCTAGTCCTATATAATAAAAGGCTAATATGCAAATTGTCCCTATGGGCGAGATTTTGACCCATGGGGAGTTGGACATGCACTGACCACCAGGGGGTGGTGCAGAACATGGTAGACATTAGCAACAGGCGACAGTGGAGGTGCTGCCAGACCCAATGGGTCCCAATAAAAGCAGGATGTGACAGGATGGTGGAGCAGGTGAGTGGGCGGAACCAGGCCAAGGTGGAGCGAAGGGAGGCCCTGGCCAGCAGCTGGGGGACAGGAAGTCCCAGCTGGTGGCAACATTGGGCCTCGAGTTGTATAATAATTTGGCTGGACTCTGTCCCTGTTTTTTGAAGGAAGCTGGACTCCTCAGACTTGACCTACGTTTGTACTAATGAGGTGACTCAGGGTGGACCCCTAGACCCTTTAAGGGTGGGAGCTAGTGATGTGGAAAATATGAACCATGAAATTAGAGGATTAGGGCTTTGAGCCATAGATATCAGCCTGACCTCAAAACTGGGGAAGGAAGAAAGGCTAGAAATTGAGTAATCAAGTGGTGACTGATTTAATTATTACTATGTATAAAACCACTACAAAAACTTTGAATGCTCAAAGTTTGAATGAGCTTTCTCTTGGTGATACACACTAAGTTGATGAAAAGTGATGGATCCTGAGTAATAGAGTTTACATTTAGGATCTCCAAGACCTTGCCCCTTTTTCATTTGGCTGCTCCTGATTGTACCTTTTATAATAAAACTATATAGTGCTTTCCTGAGTTCTGGTGGTCATTCTAGCAAATTATAAGGGGAAAGTGGCAATATAACCAATTGGTCAGAAGTGTGGGCGACCTGGAAACCCTGGAGATTGCAGCTAGTGACTAAGGTGAGGGAAGTGCTGTGCAGGACTGTGCCTTAACCTGTAAATCTGACCTAACTCCAGGTAGCATCAGAATTGCATTGCACATGGGAAAAGTAACTAAATACCAAAGACATAAGAAAAGCAGATAATATGCATATAATGAACACAGACAATAGAGTGGTAAAGGCCTGGGAAGAGTTGGCTCAGGGTGGAGAGAGAAAAAAAGAAAAGGGATAATAAATATAAATACGTAAATAAAAGCTGGAGGATAAAATAATTTAAAAACAAAAGAAAGAAAAGCAGAGAAAAGAAAGGTTAATAGACAACAGAAGTGATAGTCATAATTAGGAATAATCACAGAAGCAGTCACCATGGAATCAAAAATGAAAAAAGAGCCCAGCTAGGATCAGTGGTTGAGCATCAACCTATGAACCAAGAAGTCACAGTTCGATTCCCAGTCGGGGCACAGGCCTGGGTTGCGGGTTCGATCCCCAGTGTGGGGAGTGCATGAGGCAGCCAATTGGTGATTCTCTCTCATTATTGACATTTCCATCTCTCCCTTTCCCTTCCTGTCTCTGAAGTAAATAAAATATATATTTTTTAGAAAATGAGAAAAGAAAAACCACACATACACACACACACAATATTAAAGGCAAAAGAGACAATTAGAGGTAATAGTGGAAGAATTGATAAACACAACAGAAATGGGGTAAGGGAGTTAAGATGACAAATAATTTAATAGTCTGGGGACTCATTAATTCATTTAACAACTACCTATTAATTGCCTGCTACATGTTAGGCACAGTGCCAGGCACTAAGGATATGTGGTGAACAAGAAAAACATAGCTCCCACTCTCATGAGGTTTATATTGTAGAGGGAAAGATAAATGTTAAATTGTGCAATTGTTATTGCAATATTTGCTACAAAGGATAAGGATACAATTAAGTAAGAGTTTAATAAACAGATCAGTAATAAGTTAAGTCTATAGTCCAAACACCTACACACCTTTATATCTATTTGCAAATATTTTATATGTTACCAAAGTAGTACAGAATAATGTGCATTTTATTATTTATTATTTATAGTTATACAATTTTATTAGTTTTATGTATATAACACATGACATTTATTATCTTATAATATGATCATAATAATTTTAGTAAACATATATCACCATAGTTATTATGACATTATTGAATCTATTCCCTTTGCTGAATAATACTAATTTTAAAGGGGTTTCATTAATAACAACAAATCCAGATTAAATACTTACCTCACCTTCCACTAAAAATATTACATTCCCTTAGGTATCTGACACTTAAACATTTCCCATATTTGTTTGTCAAATTTAAGTTCGCCTTAACATAACTCCACCCAAATTTTAAAGTCATACACTTCCCAAAAAACAACAAAAACCACCAAAAAAATTTGAACTGTCAAAAAAACCCCACAAAAATAAGGATCAAATCATCAGATATGAAACCCTGACTTCTGAGCAAAAAAGACTTCGGATATGCATTTCACCAAGATTCAGAGGTCAATTTCTACTAAATTTTGCTAATGATCAGTTTTGAGATTTTTAGAAGAGATTAATTCTGAAGTAGTTTTTGATATAAAATTCCCTAAGAACTCTTTCCAAACAATAATTAATTGAATAATTAGAGTTTCTTACCTGTAGTCATCTAGCCGTACCAGAAACCGTACAATATCATGATGAGCTTTCAGTACAAGCAGTTCAGTGTAGGGGTTCTGGGTTTGTTCTTCACCTATTGTCTGTAAAGGAGATTTCTTGTATCGGGGGGGAAAAAGACAAAACAAAAGAGAAAGATGAAATGATTTATGATAAAAGGCATACTGCAGTAAAACTGCATGGTATACATCTAAAAACATAACATTTAAAAACCTATTCTAATACTACATAAAGGGTGGGGTAAAAGTAGGTTTACAGTTGTTGGTATGGAAAATAATAAATAATACTATAAGAATAAATTCCATGTTTCCTATACTCACATCTGTAACCTACTTTTGCCCCACCTTGTATTATTTCCCCTAATATCAACTGACTGCCAATTTAATACAAAACATTTTTCTTACCATAAATCCACACCATAAATTTGTTTTCAAGTCTCAATAAATTTAGAAAAAGGGTGAATTTTATTTTATGAAATTATATTTCAATAAACCTGACCTAAAAAATGAATGGACCAATCCAACTCAACATTTTTAAATGTGTTTCTCAATTGAAACTTGGCAGAAACAAAACTGCAAGTCAAAGGTGTAAAATATTAAACACGCAGCATTATATGTTTGCTGAATAAAAGAATGAAATAATTTAGTCAATGAATTCAATGAAATCAACTTTGAAAAATAACATTGATAAAGATAATTACTAACATTTACAGAGTATTAGGTGGCATTCCATATGCCAAATACTGCAAAGCACATATAACTCGATAACTCTCTAAGACAGGTCTAGAGAGTTAACCCCATTTCTGTAGTCAAACCCTCTACTATTTTATAAAATCTCTGTTCTTACCCTCTAAACTGCAGGGGTTTTTAAAAAAAAAAAACAACTTTACACTATTTACATTTTGGATCAGATAGTTCTGTGTTAAGGACTGTCCTGTACATTGTAGGATTCTCAATAGCATTCCTAGTTTCTATAAATGTCAATAGAAATTCACCCCACACCCAAATTGTGACAAGCAAGAATGTCTCAAGACATTGCCAAACGTCCCCTAATGGACAAAATTATTCCTGCTTACGTTAGAAGCTTAGATTCGAAGTTCTTGCATAATTTAGGGCAAATCATTGCTTTAGATAATGTACAAATTCACAGCAGTTATAAAACTGAAATACTTTTACATTATGAAATATACAACTTAACATGCATGTTTTCCAAAAAAATTCACACTAAAGCAGTATTTTTTTTTTTATCGCATTGCCTTGCTAGCAGTGAAAATCAAAAGTAAGAATTCTGAAAACTATATACTACTTTCCACAAATGAAAGCTTGTCAGATATGGCAGAATTAGTTAATAAAATTCTATGATTTATGAAATAATGAGTCCTGTACTTAATTGTCATATATATATATCCTATGTGGACTACTCAACTTTACACAATTCTCCTATAATTTTTAGGATTTCAGCCTATCTTAAAGACACCTAATTTCAAGTAAGAAATGCTTTTTAAAAAAATAGAGAATAAGCTTCAAGTGCAAATATATGAGGAAGTTAAGACTGAGAAGTAAGGTTTCTGGATTTACAACAATCTAAGTTTCCTATTTTTAGTAGTCAAAACATATTCTCTATGAGAAATAAAAGGAAATTCGGCACAAATTGTATTGTTGGGTGGCATATGAAAATAAGTTCCACACCTCAATACTTTTAAATTCCAAAACTTTTATATTCGCAACATTTCAAATATAAACCTCATTACAGTCTATTCAATTATTTAGTCCCATGAAGAAAGCGTTGACTGTGGAATAAAAAAAATAGCAATTAATTAGGAAATCATTTTTTCTTGACTTTGAAGCAAAACATTAATTTTAAAAGTTAACTATATCTTTTTTGGTTCTTGTATAAAACCTCAAGTCAACTTTATATTTCCTGAGCAATCAGGGGAAGTGACACCAAGTAAACGAAAAAATGTAAAGTTGCAGCCACCACACTTTTTAAAATGGATGTGAGACTTAAGTAGGGAGAAGACTAGCTGAGTATCCTTGAGCCCGTTGTTGAACCACTTCAGCTCCCGTTTTCTCGCCGTTTGGAACAAAGATGCTGTATTTAACTCCCAGCCTCTTAGGAGCATCAAAAGCACAAAGTGGCCGTAAAAGGCGGCGCCCCTCCCCCCAACCCGACCTCCTCCACCCGAAACCTGGCTTCACCACACGCAAGCCCCTCCTCCGACAGGGTCTCCACTGTCTGCAGACTCAGGACCCCGGCTCCGCCGGAGCCTGCGCCGGCAGGCGGGCTCCACCCCGGGCTTTACCTCGGCCAGCCCCTGGGGTTCTCGGCTTCCCCCGATCAGCCATCGCAACATGGGGTCAGGCCTCCGCCAGGCCCAGGCCACAGTCAGCCCCACCTCTGCACTGGCCTCCGCTCCTCCCACTTCTCAGGCACAGAGCGCTACGGAGCGGCTGATCCTTGCCGTCCCAGAAATGCCCGCCGAACACCGTAAGGCAAAGGAGAAGCCACAGAGGCAGGGAGATGTTTGTCCCCCAGGCGCTGCCGTAGCGCCACGGAGGCTTGGTTTACAGCAGCCAATAGAGGAGCTGTAGCCCAAAGCCGGTTGGGGTACGGGCGGGACTTCACAGGCTCTCAGTGAGCAGGCGCAGGGGCGGGGCCCACTTTGCACAAGAGCTTGGGTAGCTTGAGCGGCCCCTGGTGGATGCGTATGGCACAGCACCTGAGTCAAATGGGTGCTTACCAATTAATAGTCCAAAAGAACTTCTTCACTGATACTGCCCCGAGGGCAAATGAAAGCTAAAGAGAAAATAAACAAATGGGACTACATCAAAATAAAAAGCTTTTTTACAGCAAAAGAAACCATCAACAAAACAACAAGAAAGCCCACAGTGTGGGAGAACATATTTGCAAATAATACCACTGATAAAGGTTTAATCTCCAACATCTACAGACAGCTTATACAAATAAATAAAAGGAAGATGAATGATCCAATTAAAAAATGGGCAATGGACCTAAATAAAATATTTTCAAAAGAAGACAGAAGGAAGGCCAAAAGGCACATGAAAACATGTTCAAAGTCACTAATTGTCCCGGAGGTGCAAATCAAAACAACAATGCGGTACCATCTCACACCTGTCAGAATGGCCAACATCAACAAATCAACAAACGACAAGTGTTGGTGAGGTTGTGGAGAAAAAGGAACCCTCGTGCACTGCTGGTGGGAATGCAGACTGGTGCAACCACTGTGGAGAACAGTGTGGAGTTTCCTCAAAAAACTGAAAATGGAACTCCCATTTGACCCAGTAATCCCACTCCTAGGAATATATCCCAAGAAACTAGAAACACCAATCAGAAAGGATATTTGCACCCCTATGTTCATAGCAGCACAATCTACAATAGCCAGAATTTGGAAACAGCCTAGGTGCCCGTCAGCAGATGATTGGATCCAAAAACTTTGGTACATCTACACAATGGAATACTATGCTGCCACAAAAAAGAAGGAATTCTCATCATTTGCAGCAACCTGGATGGAATTGGAGAACATCATGCTGAGTGAAATAAGCCAATCAATGAAAGAGAAATACCACATGACCTCACTCATTGGTGGACAATAAAACTCATTATAAACTGATGAACCAAGAGACAGAGATAGAGAAAGTAAAGCAACAGGCAGACTGTCAAATTACAGTGGGAGGGGAGGAAGATCTGGGGGAGATAACAGATCAACCGAAGGACTTATATACATGCATATAAATACAACCAATGGACATAAAACTCTGGGGAGGGAGGGGATGTGTGGGAGGGAGGGAGGGGGGTAAAAAAAATCAATAAAATATGTAAAATAAATTTAAAAAATAAAAAAAAATAGTCCCCTCGCATCCTTACGAGGCTGGGAACCAGGAGCTCTTAGAGTTGGCTGGAGAAAGGACCGTCCACATCTGGACTAATCCAATGGCACGTGTGTACACCATAATAAATCTGGCCAACATTTAGTGTACAGATACTGTTCTGAGGCTTTACATAAATCCTCACAGTAGCCCTACTAGTATAGTCCCTATTTTATAAAGAAACTGAAACTCAAAGATTAGGTAGTTTGTCAAAGGCTGACAGCTAGGAAGTGGATATACTGAGACTGATATCCAATCTCCAAACTCCAAAACTAGTGCTCTTGACTACCCTGTGCTATCTAACCCAGAATATCCCTAAAGAATAGAGGATATTTCATCACTCTATTTTGACTACTAGACTTTCTTAGGTAGTCAAAGTGCTATGGTTCTCTACTCTGGCTGCATAGCATAATTACTATACACACATACACACACACACACACACACACACACATTCCTGGCTTCTACCTGGATTAATTCAAACAATCTCTATTGTTAGAACATAGGAATCAGGGTTTGGGGAAAATTCCTCAAGTGAGTTATGAGTAGCAAAGTTTCCAAATCACTGGCTTAGGAACTACTTATAAATATGTCTATAAATGTCCATACATATATTTGTAAGTGTGATTGTTAGGTTCAAATCAGTATACTAGCAATAAATTAATTCTTAGAGAGAACCTAATACAAGTGTCCCAACCAATACATTAATTCAACAAACATGTATTGGGCACAGATGCATAGAGATTAAAAAGTAATTACATAAAATTGCTACTTTTTAGATCAAGGCAGAATATGCTAGACACCAGTAAGAGAAAGCCGTACATTCTGCTTTAATGTATACTGGTTATGGGCAGTTTTCCAATCTAGCTGACAGTCCCTAAAGAACTGGGATTTTCTATGATTCATCTTTGTATTCATTTTGAATGCACTTGATAAAGGCACACTCCAAGGGTCAGGATAAAGTTGCCCCAAATTGCAGTCTTCGTGCCGTTGAAGACAGACTAAAAGATTAGAGATTAGCCCTGGAAAGGGGGGACTCATCTTTAGTGAAACAAAACCCAAGAACACCAGGATTTTAGTCCTGGAAGGACAATCTTCAAGTGAGGCAACATGGCTGCCCAGGTAGCCTAAATTTTATCCTGATTTTCCACATTATTTAGGGTTTTGCCCATTACCTCATTACTCTGATCTAAGGAATACTCTTCTGGTCTCTAAAGCACTGGTCCAGTGGTGAATAGTTTCTCCCTTGGTTCCTTTAAGGACAGCTGAGAAAAAACCTTATGTAAGATTATACTAGACCTCCGGGAAACTCAAGGAGTAGGAAGCATCAGGAATCCATCCCTCTATCTAGATGACAACAATTGTACTGTCAGAGACTGTGTGGACAACAACATAAGACTTCAAGGAACATGAAAAATGACACCACCAAAAGAACACAATAATCTTCCAGGAAATGACGACAGGAAATGAAGATTTTCTATTTATCCAATAAATAATTCAAAATAGTTGTTTTATGGAGGGAGGTTCAATGAGCTACAAGAAAACACAGAAAGACAACTCAACAAAATCAGTAAAACAATACATGAACAAAATGAGAAGTTTAACCAGGAAATAAAAATTACTTTTAAATCCAAATAAATTCTGGAACTTAAAATAAAATGAATAAAATTAAATAATTAATATAGAACATCAATGACAGGATCAAGCAAACGAAAAAAAAAATTGTGAGGTAGAAGACAGATCATTTTAAATTATTTAGTCAGAGAAGAACAAAGCAAAAAGAATAAGAGTACAGAAAGCCCTTGAAAACTGTGGGATGCCCTTAAGAGAAGCAGTGTACATTATATTGTAGTCCCAGAGGAGAAGAGAAGAAAGAAGAGCAGAAATCTTAACAATATAATGGCTAATGCCCTGGCCTGTGTGATTCAGTTGGTTGAGCATTGTCCCATACACTAAAACGTTGCTAGTCTGATTCATGGTCAGGACACATGCCTGGGTTGTAGGCTCGATCCCCAGTTGGGGTACATAGAGAAGGCATCCAATCGATGTTTCTCTATCACATCAAATGTTTCCCTCTTTCTCTTTCTCCCTTTCTTTCTCTTTCCCTCCCTCACTGTCTCCCCTCTCACCATCTCTCTCTCTCTCTCTCTCTCTCTCTCTCTCTCTCTCTCTCTCTCTCTCTCTTTCTCTCTCTCTCTCTCTTTCTCTCAAATTAATAAGCATACAGTAGGTTCTCGGTTATGTTGGATATCCATTCCTACGGTGTGACATAATGCAATTTTTGCCTTAAGTTGGAACCCACCTAAATGAGCACCTACGTCACTCACATGAAGCTCATACACAGCAGTAATGAAGTGAAACAGTAAAAAAAAAATTAAAAGAAAGAAAACAATTCCTGACTTTACTTGTGATAAATAATAAAAAACATAAAGCACATATGTACATACAAGGGTAAATACTGTATTAATCAGTATTTATCAGAGATGGCGACGTAACCATGAAATGACGTATATGGAGTCCGATGTAACCCCAGGACTGCCTGTATCATCAGGTGAGGATTTTTTTTTTTAAAGGCTACAGCAAGACACTCCTGTAAAACGTACCTGGTGTCAAAACAAGCCAAAGGAAAATCATTTGGGGAAAAAATGAAAAAGAATCACAAGTCAGATTTATAGAAAAGATTCCTTTATTAACTTTTGGTGGAGAATATGTTTGTATATTTTCAGAAAACAACTCCGAGACCATGTGGATTCCTGCAACAGAGAGGATTGACAGGAGTGCTCCAGCCATGAAGACAGAAAACAGTCCAGAGATGGAAGACACTGACGATGCCTTGCCATACTAGCAGTGAGCAGTTGTGCGTCACTGCAGGTTGTCCAGGACCAAAACCAGAGAGGGTTGGACCTGCATTACCACCATTTGTCCACCATCCAGAACTGAAATATAATTGCTGACATGTACACATAAGGAACTGTTTGAGATATAAATTGGGACTCAAAAGAACTGTTAGCTCAGAAAGAAACTCACTATAGACTGATTCATTTGCCTCTCAGCATAACCATTATTGCTTGTCTCATTTTTGGTTCTTATAAGTGTATTTCTAATATCACATGAACTCACTCATCTAGGAGAAATGATGAGCAACACAGACTGATGAACAAGAATAGCATCAATCAGACTGTTGGACCTCAGAGGGAAGGTAGGGTAGGGTGGGGATAAGGGAGAGAGATCAACCAAAGGACTTGTGTGCATGCACGTGAGCCTAACCAGTGGTCATGGACAACAGGAGGGTGGGGGCATGCATGGGGAGGGGTTTGGGATGGGAATAGGGGAGATGAGGACAAATATGTGATACCTTAATCAATAAAGTAAATTTAAAAAAAAAAAAAAAAAAGCTGTCAGCTGGTTCTCAACAGAAATTTTGCAGACCAGAAGGGACTGGCAAGAAATAGTCAAAGTAATGAAA